TAGATTAAATTATAATAAAAGATAATATAAAATGTATCAAAATATAAAGGTTTTTATTTTAATATCTGTTTCATCTCTCATGTATAGTTTTTACAAAATTAGGTATTTGCTTTAAAAACACTATAATTCGTTTTTTTTTTATATATAATAAATTAATTCAGTAAATGGTTGTCTTTAATTCATTTATTTAAAACAATATTATAGAAAGTCATCCATTTTTATTCCAGCAATATCAAAAATCTTCATACGATGTACTTTGCAATATTGCTCTTGAGATAACATAATTACGACTTATCAGAAAAATTATTAATCTGTCGACGCGATAGAAGTCAAAGTAACATCCTTGCTTATTATTCTTCCTATTCTAGAAAGTTCCAAGAACAATGTTCTATAAAAATAACTAAAATATGATTAAAATGAAGGTTTAACAAGTCTTTTCCAGTACATATAAAGCCAGGTATTTTTAATAAGGCCTTACATTGCAGGACAGCGATGTCAGCGCTTGAACGAGGTGAGCACGCTAGACGATTTACAAGACTTCATTGTAAAAATGAAGACCGTTGTAATGCTTTCACATAACAATACATTTCCTCTACTAAATTACAATAACTTAATCATACTATGAGGAAATAGGAATACCTTACTTAGTGGGTGAAAAATACATATAAACTTTTAAGGAAATCTGTTTTAAATATCTGTTTTAGTAGTTTTCTATAAAATCATTAAAATGAAAACTAAATACAATCCTCAAAATCGTTGATGTTTTTTATCTTTTAGTATGTACAATGCTACATTATTTAAATTTTAAAACAAACATGCATTTCCACAAAAGTAAAACATTTTTAAAAGCGTCTTAAAAGGTATTTCAATGTATTTATACTTTAAAACTCTCAGAAGACTACTTTATTCGCGCAAAGGTAACACAATTGCAGTCTCAAGTAATCCTTACAAAAACTTCAATACAAGCTCTCAGTAGGAAATTCATAGTTAAAGATATCCTTAAATTTCGTAAACCTATTACACATCAGATATTTATATAAATTATATAACAGTTGTCCAAATATGACCTACAGTGAGTCAACACAGGTATAATCTGCAGTTTGTTGCCACTCATACCAACTATATGACGTTTATTGCACGATTATTTAAAAGAAGACTGATACAATAGTTTAGAACATTCCGTACTTCTAGCCTAACTAAATGTTTCACAGGATAGTGCCAATGAATATATATAAATGAAAAATTCTATACAGTCTGTGTTTAGTTAGGTAACGCAACATTATGGTAAGAATATTGTATCTTTGGTATTAGTCTCTATCTTGACCCTACATGTAAATGCTTAAATCATCTCTTCTCTCCTGGTGAAGCTGTCAAATGCGCAGGGCTGGTAGGAAAATAAATTATAAAAAAAATATTTTTTGGGTATTTTCGTATGGATTCCATAAATGAAAACGTTAGTAACTCTTGTACTGACAAAATCTAGTATATTTTAAACAGATCTTAAACAAGAAATAAAATAAAACACATTAAAATACATATAATCACTGCATACAAATTATCATCTGACGCGATTATAGATAACGTTGTTATCAAATAACGCAAAACTGTATCTCACATGAAGATAATGAATTTGCAGCAGAACAATTTCGGCTGTGAATATATGAAATGATAACAAAATTAAAAATTGAAAAGGACATCCGAAAGGCGTTGGTGGCTTGAAAAACGCGAAGATGATTATACAACAGGTTACAGTATAAAAAATATATATTTCAAAATATATATTTCTACATTATATGATTGTTAGTATGTTGTACATAAACATATATATGTAATGACGTAAACAGTTTAAATGTAATAAAATATACAAGTGTTTAAAGCATCTGCTGATTGCAGCGAACCATTTAGTCTTCCTGTCGCTCTTACAAAAACTATTAAGCGAATAAATTTACAACTTTCTATACGATCACACAATTAACATTTTCTATGGAAAAACTAAAACGTCTTACATAATATTCTTATATTGATAGGGAATAATATCGTTATTATTATTATGATAATGGGAGCTAAAAATTATATGTTTTAATGAAGTTCGTGATTCAGATTAAATGAATATGATATAGATCTGTTATCATTTAGTCGTAGTATAGGCAGTTTCAAAACAAGCTACTGTTCATAGATGTCTGTATACTGTAAAGCGGTCGTGTATGAGTCGTGTCGTCTTGTATGTAGTCTGAGCGAACCTCTCAAAGTACCTCCCAGAGTGCATTCAGCTCATTCGTCGTAAGCATTTTGATAATCGTTACAGTTGTCTTTTATGTTGGACGTTCACAATGTTTACTGCTTTTTATTGTCAACACTCCACTTTATATTTTAAACTTGTTTTACACTGTTCTTTCCTTCTTCCTCCTCGTCCTTTGCGTTTTTTTTTTTTGCAAACACAAATAAGATATTGAAGACTTAATGAACTTCACATATAGGAAAATCATATGCTTTATTAAATTATCACGATATAAATTGTCGTTAGTAATTTTTTTTTCTTGAAAACATCGTTTTTACAAGCGATTTTATTTGCCTATAACTAATTGTGAGTTGCTCTTTAGTCCTCTAAAAACACATATTTTTAAAACTTAAAAAAAATAATAACGGATACAAACACCTCAAGGATGACAAAAGACGACAGTTATAACTATTGTTTTCAAAAATACTGGTTTGGAAAATGGAAATGTTAAATTTTTAGTCATGAACGAGAATTCCGTAATGAATTTACGGTCATAATAAAATGACATTAATCAATGACTCCTCAGGGAACGCGATGAAAAAATAATTCTCAAAAAATTAAAAACACAATATGTAACAGAATGTTAGTATTTTTTTTTAATTAAAATATGAATAATATTAAAAGTTTAGTTTAAAATAACAGAAGCGACACAACAAATAATAAGAACGAAAACCAGAGTGTTCACCGGCCGTTATAGTGAAATTTATGACACAGAGATTTGGGATGAAATACTAGCAGCCATTACTAAAAGTAAAAAAGCGAACCCTGACGACAAATTAAACATTCATCTGACCGAGGCTGCTATGATAAAACACAAATATAATTTACTGAGCATTTTTAAACTATGAGTAAGACTGCATACAACACCGGGAATCAAGGCTAAGCAAACGAATCATATTTTTTTACATTTGGGATAAGAAGCCAAATATTAGTACACAAAAAATCTGTATACATAATACATATCTAGATTTAGAAAACTAGATCTTCCTCAGGTAAAGAATATACATAGGTATGTAAGTATGTATATTTAGGTTTTATTATTTTTAAAAGATTAATCTCCGTACAAAAAGAAATATTTTAAGAATTTTAGAAATATTTTAAGAATTTTAGAAATATTTTAAGTAATATGGCGTTTATTTACCTAACAGTGCCGTACAAATGGTTGTCAAATTAATTATATACATACTGCATATTGTTATAATCTTTATATCATACCAGTTTTTGCAAGCGTCATCTGCGTTACTGTCAGAATTAGAAATGTAGAGTTGACCAGGCGAACTCTGTTCCTCCTTAAAGGCAGTAAATAAGAACATTTTAGATTTGATCAATTAATTTTATATTTTTAAGTTTTACGAAAAGTATCCTATGTTCCCTTGTTCTAAGCTATCTCTCCACCAATTTTCAGCCAAACCCGTTCTTGAGTTATATGTAGTGAAACTAACACGACTTTCTTTATATGTATAAGATTGACGAGTATACATAATAATATTTGAACATCATACATTAATTATTTTGTAATTAATTAATTCTTTATACTGAGAGGACAAAATAAATACGTTCCATAACAAATATTTATAATAATCAGTTATTATGTGAGATTTTTGCATAAAACTTTATTTTCGGACTAAAATTAAAGAACTTTATTATTTATTCCGGATTACCCTATTACAAATTCTACGTCGTAATCACATGATCGATAAGAACATTCTCGGAAAGTCGAGACGAGTGGCTTTGCTATATTGAACAAATTAATTATGAACTGTAACCTTAATGTGTTTTTATTGTTATATACTTACGAGTTTTCAAGAACCCGTTCAACGTTAGAGCGATCTAGGAATAGATCAACAAATGATGTTCACCACTATAAACTGACCTATATTAATTATTATCTTTTGAACCTTTACTCTTTTCGCTACAGTAAGATAACTTTAAAACTTGTTAATATAACTGAAACGTCGTTACATAGTTCATTATTAAAACGAGCTATTTTCAGATATTGTTCTTTTTTCTCAGGAATCATTAATGTTTATATTCTGGCACATTATTATTGTAGAATAAAAATCATCTTTTGAATGTTGCTAGTGTAAATTATTCATGAATACATCTGGCATCCCTGAAACGAAGCTGACGAGGACAATGGTAAATGAAAAACATTTTATCAGTACATTTCATATATTCATTTATTCATATAAATGTTAATAAAACTCTAATTATTCTAAATAACTCGATAGTATTATAATATAATACAAGTATGAGGAATATTGTTATTAATATTATATAAAGAGAAATAATATTACTGAAACTTATAGCGTCTACAATAAAAACATTTTTATATTAATTTAATTAAAATTTAACGAACGGCTCCACTGTATAATTTTATATTATATATTAATTGATTATCGAGAACTCGTTTATAGATCACACTTCGAAGGATTGTACGCGACCGTACGAACACAATGAAATAAACACATTAAATTAATAATTAATAAAGATAAGGATCGAATAAAATATAAAAAATATATGATCCGCGACTATAATGAGGAATTAAAAGATACGCATACAGCATAGGTCGAGGCTTTGGAATTAACTGAAGAGTACAGTCTCAACGAACATGAGGAATATATTCACAGGTTCATGAGAATATCATCTGTTACAGTATACATATATTATACACAGGCTTGACACGTGACGGGTGGTTACAGTAGTGTGTGTGTGTGTGCGACTACCGCAGCTGGTCGGCCAGCAGGAACAGCATCTTGAGTCCGGGCAGGAACGAGGCGGCGGCCGCGAAGTCACTGCCGGCCGCCAGCTCGGAGCACGCCTGCAGCGCGCTGGACGCCTCGCCGCGACCAGCCAGGGACGCGCTCGTGTGAAGCGCTGACACCGCTGACGGGGACAACTAGCGGGAGTGACGGGCATGAGTTACATGTAGTGTTCACACACGAGCATATGATAGTTAGCACACGTACCTTGTTCTCGCGCAGTATATCGTAGAGCGTCTCCAGCCGCCGCTGCACGTCCTCCAGCTTCCTCTTGATTTGCTGAAAATATACAAAATGTGAGGCGAGGACTGACCGTGAGTGAGTTATACGGAAACGATGAGTCGGTACTCACGATGTTGTGTGCTCGCTCCAGACACACTCGGTGGAGCTCATCGAAGGCCGTCTGTATGGGGGCGAGGTCGGCCGGCAGGGGGGGCTTGACCACCGGGGCGGGGGGCGGCGGGGGCGCGGCGGCTGGGGCAGGTGGCTGCAAGCGGGAAGACTTTATATATAATGTTATACGACACAGAAACTGTATGGAGAGAACATTGAACTATAATCAACACAATAACACACACACACACACACACACAAACACACACTTTTGTATGTAACACCATTTGGTTTGCTTTCTTTCCCCTTTTCTTTTTATTCTTAATTGTATGCTCGAGTGTAACTGTAGAACTGTAAATTTATGTAATCCTAAATTGGCCTTATTTATAGCTATATTGTTACTATTCTAAAATTAAGATAACGCTGTTGGATTACCAATAAACGAAAAAAAAATCCTGTGATATGGAAGATCAGAAGTACATTTTTTTTCAACTAAGACGCTTCAACTATCTTATCTTGTTATCGTTATATATTCCGCACCTGCTGCCCGTAATTCTGTTGATATCCTCCCGGGTACTGCTGGTACATGTCAGGAGCTTGTTGTCCCGGGAGCGTGTCCTGTTGTCCCGGGTAGTGAGCCGGTTGTCCCGGATACTGTCCCTGGAACTGTCCCGGGTACTGTGTGGGTGGGAACTGGTTCTGTGTCTGGTAGTGTGTCTGTCCCGGGGCCGGCACCAGCGGCACGTGCTGCGGGGGCTCCACTCCGAACAACGGATGTGTTATAGGAGCCTGCTGCTGGACCTCTGGCTTTGGCTGGAAGAATATAACGTGCGGTTTAGATTGTGTTATACAAGTTATCTCGGATTTTAGATGTGGAACAAAATCACAAAAACCGTTATTAGTACAAATTCCCCACACTCGTCACGTTTTGTTTGTATGTCACACACACACTCTATATGTATACTGTATCATGCACGATGACGTCACCACCTCCCCCCTCCCCTATACCTCATCGGACCGTCTACTCTGTAGGAGCTGTGTCCAGTGCCTGGTGCCGGCGTGGGAGGCCGACATGTCGCCCACATCGAACTAACAACCAATCATTATAAATGCTGTACTCTTATAAACAACACGTTCTAGTGTTAACGTGTCGATGTAACTCTAATATCTTATAGTTCATGACCTAATGTTTATCACCTCCTGATGTATGTGAGCGGTGAGCCGGGAGAGGAGACGAATGGTTGAATATTCCTGACGCACATGAGGTGTGTGAGAACAAACAGATCTCAGGGTGACCATATTATAACGTCTTCATTTATGTGAGCGGCAAAACATAAACCATTATAATTAAAAATTTTCCCACTTATCAAAAATATGTGGGTATAATATGTTACGTATTAAACTAAAATAATTGACACTATTATTAATTTATTTTTATATAATGTATGACTATACTGTTCTGGCCGCCTTTTTTTGTGCATATAAATAAATAATATACAAAAAATATGTGATATCGTCGGACCCATCTAGGATATTTATATCATGTGCGTGAGGAACAATAGAGCCGGAACCACTGAATCATATAACGGTCGCTGAGACAAATTAAATTGTATAGGCATATGTCACCTCGCTCATGACACTCACACACGTCAGGAGGAGACTGGCGGCATGAGAGTACTGTAGGTGAATAATACGACGTTATAATGAATGTGTTAGTTACCTTATGAGTGTTGGTCACCATTGGAGGGTCGTTCCAGCCGGGCGCGGCGGGCCGCGGTGGAGCGTACTGAGACATGGATACTGGCTCAGGAGGGGGCTGGCTGAGAGGGGCTGGGTTCAGTGGGGCTGGGTTTAATGGAGCTGGGTTCAATGGAGCTGGGTTAGGTCTGTTGATAGGAGCGAAGTTGTTGACGGGCGCGGCCGGGCCGTACTGCTCCGGCAGGGGACTGTTGTAACCGTACGACGGCTGCGGGGGAGCGGGGCTGTTGAAACTGTACTGGTTGTACAGAGGAGCCGCCTGCACTGACGGGTCCACCTTGTACTTGGACCTCCCGGATATACCACCTGCTGTTAGAGTTCATTGATAATAATACAAACATGTAGACAACAGAAATACTTGGAAATAAATGAGTGATACAATCTTACCAGGCTGTGGAGTGGCGCTGAGAGGCCGAGGGGGAGCGGACCACGCGGGGGGCTCGGCGGGGTCTGCGGGGGGAGGGACGGTTATAAAACAATTACGTTGACTTTATATTATACAGGGTGACTGGTGAATTACTATCAATATTTAAGGAGAATACTCGGTACATGATTCTCATTCGAATTATGTAAAAAAAATTGGTACTTAATTTTTGACCAAATTTCCGTATAAATAAATAATGTGTGGACACGTTCCAAGTGTTCCAAGTGTGGACGCGTGCGGCGGCGTGCTGATACAACACATCGCCGCCGCATGCGTGTGTGTGTGTGTGTATACCTAATCTGTAGGGTGTTCACACGATGCGTAATTAATTACATAACTTTTGGTTAACTTTACTTAGAAGTTTATTAATATTTATGTTATATTAATTTTTATTTTGTCATATATGATCGTCAAATATCACGTCCTCAAGTATCGATAGTAATTCACCAGTCACCCTGTATATGAGCACGTGATTGTATTATAATAACTAGGACGTGTCATCTTACGTTGGTTGTAGGCGTTGGTGTCGTTGTGTGTGTACGTGTGTGTGTACTGTCCACGCGGCTGTGTGTGTGTGTGTCCGCTCACGGTCCGCGAGCGAGCACCGGCCGGCTGGGGGGCGGGGGGCTGCTGGCGAGTGTTATATTGCTGAGGACAATTAACATTACTTTAATGAATACCGTGTAGTAATGTAAAGGAAGAAGGAGAAAATAATTATTTCATGTTACACAACAATCAAAATATTGTAAGTCGATAAAAATGATCTTGAAAATCACAGAAACATGATTACATGAGTAAATAAATTAATTTATTGTTTTTCATTATCTCACATTCTTCATCCGGAGCGCCACCTCCAGTCGTTCATTAAGCGTGGTGTTGGCTCCCTGTAGCGCGGCCAATGCGCTCCTCAGACAGCCCTGAGCCGCGAGCCGCGCCGCGTACTCCTCCAGCAACACGTCCACGGCGGAGGACCCTCCAGACCCGCCGGCCGCCGAGCCGTTGACCGCGGCCGCCCGACGCAGCAGCAGCGCTCGCTCCGCCGCGGCCGCCAGGTCTGCGGGGCTCCGACTAGCCCGTAAGGCTCGCCTACAGAGCGGCTCCCCGCACGCACAACACGTGTAACACAACACGGCCGCCTCGCGGAGACTCGCCTCGGGAGACGAGGACAGCTTGTCACCCAACATCTCTGACGAAAGAAGTGTTGCTTAGTTACGAGTGTGGCCAACGAAACAAGATAAATATTGTAAATAAAGACATTTCTTCTTTGAATGTTCCAGCCGACTTACAACTCTTTTTTGATTTATACGAAACCTCATCACCAGTTTTAATATCAAGAATTATATTTTTACTACTATTACCAAAAAGATTTTGGCCTATTTAATGTATTGATAAATTTTCTTCCTATTCTCCAGCCAAATTCGATGTGGAATGTTTAATAACAAAGCGTTGCTTAGCAACCGACGTCAGGCAGATGCTCAAAACATTTTTAGAAATATGTACAACAATTATTTTTGATATTAATGAAAATTAAAATTGATGATTAATAATAAAATATTTAAGACAAAGGACTAAGCGCATTCTTGGTTATAATTATAATATGATCATCTGGATTAGTGTAAATCTCAAAAATAATACCTCCAATTTTAAAATGACATCAGAAATTACCTCGTAGTTATATGTATAATAATATAGTTATATATATAATTCGCTTTATTAACTTTATCCATCGCCTCCCAGACGACAGGACTCATTTAAATTAAAGTTTTTGTATATTTGAATTTCGCTACAGATCCAATCCCACTCGGACCAGGTTATTCAGTATTACTCATAGTCAACTAATATAAACAATATTTGATTACAACAAACTTATAACAATAACGAATTAGAACAAAATAACGATAACAAAATCTAACAATTAAAAACAGAACGGAAGAACACCAGAATCAAAGACTCGTGAATTGTAAGCAAACCTAACAACAAAACAAACATTATGGCGGGCGGATAATGCAACAAAATTACGTAGTTACGTTTCGTTTAACTTTATTTGTTTTAAAAAATATTTTTTTTTATTAATTAAAATGTAACCGCAATAAAATTTATTAAATTCTATATGACATATATATATATATATATCTATTGGAAGAAATTGTAAATATATGTGGTTGAAACAGTGATTGTAGTGCTATATTTATGCTAGCCAAAACAAGATATCTTTCTTTTTAACGTTGTGTATATGTTAACATTCTTAACCTGTTGTGGTTATACTACCATTATAATACGACCAAAAATATACACCACCAATTACGAAGAGCCTGTATCGCTATTATATACCTTCCTAACTCTGCCAATTGCTTAAAAAACACTCCAAATGTTATAAACCTGCGACTTCTTTACGTCATTATTAAAATATAGGGTTGTTAGCTTTGTAGTAATATTATAGTGGTAACTTAAGATTTTTAAACTTTTATTTTAAGCTAATTTTCATATAAATTATGTATTGACCGGCCAAATAAATTTTTTGGTTTCTCTATTAAACTAGAAGATCCGGTCAACTTAGTATCGCCCTATAATTAAGAAATATCTGTTACGTTTTTACATAAATAAATTTAGGTTATACCTTAGCCTCAGAAACACGTGGTGGTTATGCTATTATTAAATAGTCGCTCATATATGACGTTTGTATTTTTAACATAACGCCATCTATTGAATACTTAACTCAGTCAACAGATAATTGTAATAACAAATAATTTTCTTTAATAGACAAATAATTTGTAATAAAATAACATTATGACTATAAATTGAGATGTAAGTTATCCTATCTTTCAAGTTGGATCAAAATGCACACGGAATGTAAATCAAATTTAAAAGCGGTTAAGTAGTTTAGGAATCCATCGCGGACAAACCCGTGACACGAAATTTTTATATATATAAAGATTTACAATTTTTGTGTTTAAACAGGAAATTGTGTCATAATGAATATAGTTGTAATTATAATAATTATTATTTTTTATTAAGAGTGTATCAACCCTACTTATAATGACTCATGGTTTGTTTACTAAAATTACAGATCGAGTGTGGCTGGAGTATATATATAAATATTAAGGTCATCTCTAGACACGCAGTCGTCTGTCGTTCAGTATATGACGGTACTGCGGGTAGTGTCGGCTCACCGCAGTAGTGTTGTAAGCTTTCCCCATGGCAGTGTGTGAGGAGGGCGGCCAGCACGTTCCTCCAGGAGGCAGGGGCGGCGCCCGACACAAGCGCCGCCCACCGCCCGCCCAGCAGCCCGCCCACCACCAGCGACACGGGTGAATTACACGTGCGATACAAGTGGTACCGCTGGACCTTGTATAACAACTCCTGGCTTCCTGAAAACGAAACGCGTAACATTCATCTATAGTTAAACGAGTCATATATCAAGGGTCATATATTGTATGTGTGTAAAAGGCGTGTGTTCCATACCGAGCGAGGCGATGACCAGTGCGTCCGCGAGCCGCTCGTCCTCCAGACACAGCTCCACGGCCTCCTCCAGCTGGCCCGTCACCAGCGAGCGACAGATCTCACTCGTCAGGTCTACAACCACCACAACCACGAGTTAACATTCACAGTCGTAATGAAACACTTGTGTACAAGTATGAATGGCTCACCGTCTCCGTTGGGTATAACCACATCCTTCACGCTCGGCTCCAGCTCCACACTGGCCAGCTTCCTCTCTATCAGGGTCTGCGCGTCCTGGACATACACCACACTTAGTATGGACGTGGAGCGATTAGTACATAACTAATGAACGAGATATTAGTATAGAGACTATGTTACTATGAGACTATGAGACTATGATGTTTAGTGATATGAATAAAAGGGGTAAAACATGCACATTGTGTCTGTATGTGTGCGTGTGTTTGTGTGTGTGTGTGTGTGTCTACTCACGGACAGGTCTGTGCTGGTGTCGGTGGACAGCTCCGCCTCAGTCTCTGTGCTGCCCGTCTGTGGGGGTGGGGGGGAGGGGGAGGGAGTAGTGACAGTTACAGTAGTAGTAGTAGTAGTGTTACATGATACCAGCAATATTATTGTATTAATGAGTCATCAGTTTAACATGTTACCGTGTTAACAGACTCCCTTCAAACACAAGCATCTACATATATAATGGTATAACTCACCCTACTGAGTCCCTGGCCCTCCGCTGGTCGGCTCTCGTTGTTAACAGCTAGTCCTTTGAACTTCGACGATATCTCGTCCTGTTTGAATCCTGTCAATATGAATATCTTTTTATATATATAATTCTTTTGTGAGTGTGTATGTCACTGAACTTCTCTCAAACGACTGCACCGATTGTGATGAATTTTTTTGTGTGTGTTCAAGGGGATCTCGGAATGGTTTAGATTCACAATTTTGTCCGCTGGACAATGTTTTTTTAATTAATTTTTAATTTATTAGTAGTTGTTGATACAAACGTTTTTTTTTTGACATTTGATTTGACAACTAACTAATATGTCAATCATTCTGTCGCACTTCAAAACACGGAGATTTATTGCTTTAATAGGTAAACTCCAAAAATATAAATAAAAAAACGTAACAGATATTTCTTGAATATAAGGCGATACGAAGTTCGCCTAGTCTTCTAGTATACTATATTCAACTAACTTTATTCGATTTCACATACATGTCGGTTGTTATTGAACAAGAAAATTTAATCCTTGTTTGAGGTACGTTTTGGTTTTGCTTAAAATTTTATTAAAATAACAACCAACCACAAGATGGTTAGCTATAATAAAAAAAAGAGAAAAACATTTCTCTGTTAAATAATTTATGATTAAGACCCAGTTTCACCAATCAATGTTTGTTTAATCTAATCACAGCATTTACTAACCAACCTACAAAATTATAAATGTCTGTTAAAATATTTACGTCCCACGATCGCAAATTAACAACGCATTAGTAAATGACCGACTACCAAATTATTCGTTCTTGTTATAAGACGACCAAATGGAAACTATAGCGTTAAATACGGCACGATTGCCACGATGCACCACTTTATACTTTGATCGTATATATTCCTCGATACGTCACTTGTAAGCTAATGCGACCAAATTTTATACATTATTGGTTGCATACATTTAGCACACAAAAAGCTTTCTTTTCAATTTACTAGGTGTAACTTGTCAAATTCGTGTTGTCAATAAATTGTGTTATATATTATTGTGTTATAAATATAGACATACATTGTGTTCAAATTATAAGGAATAAAAGAAAACTTAATTTGAAATGTCATAGAAAAGCTGGAGGCAAAATCATCAAAGGAAATTAAATTTTAATTCACTTTAATAATAAGTACAAGAAATAGTTGAAACTGACAAAACAGATGACGTTACTATGGTTATAATAAATCAGGGCTGTTTTTGGCTGAAATTAATATTAGTGGCTTGTTAAGACATTTAAACGGACATTTGTGCGTGGTGGGACGCTCGATACATCTAACAGAGCATTAAACGCCTTAAAACGATGTTTACTTGTTTAACATTGATTGGTGAAACTGGGTCTAAATGTGAGTTCAGAAATAACTCTTATTTTGTGTACAATAATTTCTATAATATCTTGTTACCTAACAGGTTCAGTAGCTCGGTTCTGTATGAAGGCAGGAAGTTCGCTCGCAGGAAGAACCACTCGTACCGCTCGTTCTGATCCACGGCCGCCTCGCCCTTCTCACGACAGTATCTGTAAGTATTGTTTTATATGTATTAATTGTTATCTATAAGTATTAATTGGTGAAAATAAAATTAAGCACTATAAAACAAAATAATTATTTCAAATGGTACGAATTGGTACGAAAAAAAATCATACAGTTATATGAGACGTACCAATATCTTAACAGACATATGTATGAACATTGTTGTAACTTGTAAAGTGTGTTACTCAACATTTCTAACCATATTTGGTAACTGTTATATTACATGTATATGAGATACAGTCACTTTTTCCCGCTACTTCATCGACGCTGACTTTGGATTTAGAAAAACTAAATAAAGTGATCAACTACACGGAATTTCGTGATGAGTCACAGCCTTTGCATTGCTCAATACATATATAACACATTAAAATTTAAATGTAATACCTGCAGTAGTTTTAGCGTGTATGACAAACAAACATCATATGAGCATGTATATATGTATAGTAGTGTGAGTGTACTCACTCGGCCAGCCTCTCCGCGGCGTCTTGCTCGTGACTGAGCGTGAGGCCAATGACCCGATCCAACTCCAACGCCTTCTCCACTATCTCCGGCTCGCTCACCACCTGCACACACACACACGCAAACGTTACACACACATACACGTTACACACGTTAGGTATGATTAATATATGTGACTGTGGTCATTGTAGACCAGTGCAGAAGCCTTAAAAATTAATGAAAAGTGAAAATAAATTTTAGTAGAATGAAACACATTAGAAAAGCAGGGGAATATTATAAAAATTAAAGGAAAAATAATTTACGGGCGATCTGAGGTCGGGAAGGGTATGGGGATGGGTATTTAAGGGTAAAAAATGGGTTTTCTCGATTTCCGACAAAACTAAAAGTCCTACGGAAAAATGTTATATGATAAAGTTGTAGGTAATAAAAAGATCTAAAACTTTCGTAATAACATTTTTTTTCACATAACCTCAAATTTTATATGAAAAATTCGAAAAACCAAGTTTTTGGGTTTTTTATTTTTTTCTCTCACAAAAAATAATATTTTGTAACGATCAAAGCTTACCTTTTGACGTCTCAAATACCCTGTAATTTATTTGATTAGAAATATTTATTTTTTCAACTTATTTTCAATAAATATCGAAAAATCAGCCTCATTTTCAATCGAAAAATCACCGTCAAAATATCAGCTTTTTTTCAAAAATTTTGTATGTTTTCTATTCACTGAAATCTCTATTTTCCGATGGTGAAGAAAAAAATATAAGTTTCTTACTTACAGTACCATTTTTGGAAAAAATAATCATGTCTCTTTTAATGAACTGACACTCGACATCGTTTTGAAAATGCTCTTTCTAATTTATTTCTCATAGTTGTGTACTCTGGAAGTTCTCCAGATAGTCCCTATTTTAGTTAAATTACAGAAAATTGACATTAAGCTGCTAAAACTATTAAAAATAATTTGAAAGAGCATTTCCAAAACAATGTCGTCATTTCATTAAAAGAGACATGATTATTTTATCCAAAAATGGTACTGTAAGTAAGAAACTTATATTTTTTTCTACACCATCGGAAAATAGAGATTTCAACAAGTAGAAAACATACCAAATTTTTGGAAAAAGCTGATATTTTGATGGGTTATTTTTCGATTGAAAATGAGGCTGATTTTTCGGTATTTATTCAAAATAAGCTGAAAAAATAAATTTTTCTAATCAAATAAGTTACAGTGTATTTGAGATATCAAAAGGTAAGTTATCACGAAATTTCGTCACAAAATATTGTTTTTTGTAAGAGATAAAAATAAAAAACCAAAAACTTGGTTTTTCGAATTTTTCACAAAATATGAGGTTATGTGAAAAAAATGTTAGTACAAAAGTTTTAGATCTTTTTATTACCTACAACTTTGCCATATAATTTTTTCCGTAGGACTTTTAGTTTTGCCGGAAATCGAGAAAACCCATTTTTTTACCCTTAAATACCCATCCCCATACCCTTCCCGACCTCAGATCGCCCGTAAATTATTTTTCCTTTAATTTTTATAATATTCCCCTCCTTTTCTAATGAGTTTCATTCTACTATAATTTAATTATGTTTTAAAAGCTACTGGCACTGGTCATTGTATGAGTGATGTTCGTACCTGACTGATGTAAACCGTCTTCTGTGAGCCCGCCTCGCGCGGACAACGCTCGAACGACACTAACTTACCACCGAACTGGAACAATATAATGAATTATAATAATGATCTCGAGATTACAACGTCTTATGATCTACACACATATTATATATATACATGAATCCCTATTTCCATTGGTCAAGCAATCCCTCGTGAAAGGCTGGACCGATTTCACAAATATTTTTGGTTGTTGTTATGTTTGTTATTGCCAAGAAAAGGTTCGTATAACAGAAAAAATAGAATTTACCTTTACTGCAAACTTTTTATAATATACTTATTGCTGAATATATTTTCAATAATCATATGTCAATAATGTCAGTTGTTCAGACAGGTCCCACACATTCAATATCGTTTATTAAAATCTCATAATTCTAAGGTAACAGTGTGTATATTTTTTTGCCATAATTCGAATTATATTAGTTGGAAATAAAGACTCAACTATTAAGAGTTGAGGTTTTCAAAACAAATTGTATTTCACAGTCATCTCTTTGTCTGAATGATATCTTTCATATGCCGGGACGAGGTCTGTCATATCTGGTAGTTTCTGTTATTCAATATAAGAGTGTTGTGTATATTTACCGCGAACCTGGCCCTGACGGGTCTCTTGAGCCAGCTGGGCGGGCGGGGGGCCTGCGGTGCGGGGGCGGGCGGGGGGGCGGTCGGACTCACTACGGGGAGGGACAGGAACGACTCCGCGCCACCGAACGAGTCCATTATGTCGCTCTGACCCTGCGCGCTCTGGAATATATGAGTAAGAAACGATTAGTGTGGAGATACGATGAATATTTATTTTATTTCTTTTAGGTTTTTATTTCAATATATATATTTTTAATATAACACTTTTATACCTCTCTTAATTAAGATTACCTTTAACTTTTTTTTTAGATACCTTTGGTTGATACTGTCATTGCGTGGCCAAAAGAGGGACAGCTGAAAATCAGCAGAGGGATAAAAATACCCTCATAGCCTGAGCTGTCTCCTTTTGACTGCACACAAGTTTCATATCAATTATTTTTGTAATATTGTTTTTATATCCTTTTTTGTATAATTTTGTTTTTTTTTTCTTTGTGTGTATGTCAATAAATGTCTTTTCATTCTTTCTTTCTTTCTTCTTTCTTATAGAGAAGATTATACGTGTTAGTTGATAGGTCCAACTGTTAAAGTAACTAATAAGTAATCAAACGACTAGGATAAAGTCTTCTAGAATCTAGAGAGTTGATATGGTGATGGAATTACACACGAGTTAATTTCCTCTAACACATCTTTTATTTCACATTCGAATTATATCAATGGTTCCATTTTACCTTAATACTAAGATGAGATAGAGTCTAATTTAAGTCAATATGAATGTATTTGAACTGATGTACAAGTATATAACATTTCTAGAACACAGTTCCTTCAGTTCTCTTGGAGGTTGTTATAATGTATGCAGGTCATTGACCCTGTGTGTGTGAGTATGTATGTGTGTGTGTACTCACGATGGCTGCTGGTTGCGCCACGTGGTGCATGGTGTGTAGTGAGAGCGTCTGGTCGAAGGAGGCGGCGGCCAGCAGGCCCGGGGTGCGAGGAGACCACGACACGTCCAGCACCCAGCCCGCCTGGCGACACACCTCCAGCACAAGCTCCCCGCCCTGCGGACAGACACACTCTTAATAACTATAACACAAGCGCGCGCGCGCGCGTGTGTGTGCGTGTGTGCGTGTGTACCGGGCGTGTGTTCGCGGGGTTCCAGAGCCGCACGGAGCCGTCCTTGCCGGCGGACAGCAGCAGCTCGTGGTCGTGTCTGCTCCAGCTGAGAGACAACACGCCCTTCTCGTGACCCTCGAGAGTCACCAGCGGGGAGGCCGCCAGTCTGAAACATACACACACACATCATCAGACTATCAGATACACGTTACTGAACAACGACCTATTCTCACCTGGAAAACGTTAGAGAATTAATCACCACTATTGCTCAAAACGGGTTGGCGATTTCAAACTTATATCTAGTATGCAAATTTACTTTATTAACAATTCCTCGAGCACTTAATTTATACCAAATTATATCAAATTTATAATCTACTCTTGTTGCAATTATGTGAAGCAGTGGGTTTTTTAATAAATATAACATGTATGTACACATTTATTAATTATATTTCTATACTTCAAAAATACATTTTATTCAATTCTAATCCTTGTAGTATGAGACTATATTATTCAAATTAATATACCTGAGATCCCACAGTTGTAAGACGGGCGCGTGATCATGATCAGAAGCGACACACAGCTGAGTGGCGACCTGCGGGTGCCAGGCCAGGGCGCGCCACCGACTACCCGACTGAGAGTCACTGGGGATATAACATGATATCATTATGATATGATATGATAACGATGACGTTACTGCAGCTGAACGTTAAAAAAATATACCTGAGTTTCATTATCGGTTCATTCTTCCTCAAGTCCCAAACGAGACATCTTGTTGCGAAAGTCGAACCTAGAATGTGTTGGACCTGCGAGGAGAAATAGAAGAATATAGAATACAGAAGAAAAATGACATAGTGGGTTAAAGAAATATAAAATTTCTGGAATAAATATAACATCTCAAAATATTTTCCACCTTCACTCTCTGACATGTCAAGACAGAGTAGGACACGGAGCTTTGAAAAGTGTACAATTAAAGGCAACATTTTAAATATCTTTTGTTAGGAAGTAAATAGTGATAACATTGAAACGTAATAGTACTAATAATGAACGTAGTATTTTTGACTTACAATAGTTAATATATTAATATATACAGAAACAATCATATTTGAACAATTAAATTACACTTGTTCAAGGTTATCACCATTATTTGTTTTTGTAATGATGTAACAATATAACTAGGCAATTATGTAAGCTATAATTTTCGTAAAGTTATTATATTACATTCATAATTTTCTTAACGTCGTGTTAGATATACAACTCCCATAAAATTTAATACATTGAATTGATTAATACATACATTAAATATGCATACAATTATTGCGTTACTATAAAATAATAATATTGTTAGCTGTGCATCACTATTAGTGAATTGACAGAATTTGTCAGAAACGCAAACTCAGAGCGGCCTGGATATAATGTCACATGTGGACAGAGGCGACATCTGTTCCATTTACTTAAGAATTTTTGTTAAATTTTTACTATTACTATTAAAATGCATTGTTAACATAAATGCTTCAATTTCTATATGTACACTGTACGTATATATACGTATATCAATGTCTAAATATTAATTTGAAGGCAATTTTAATTATTTAGAATACATATAACATGTTGCCATTTGGTAGTCCCAACACGACTATAGATGTTCAAGGCGATAAGGCTCAATTTTGAATGTACGGAAATATTCGTAATGAAGAGACTTGTCAGCGTTGTAGTGTTTTTTACAAATCAGTGGACTGTATCAGATATACCTACATAATTATGAATATAAACTAGAAGACCTGGCGAACTTCGTATCGCCCTATAATCAAGAAATATTATTACGTTTTTTTATTTATATTTTTGGAGTTTACTTGTAAGCCATAAATCTCCGTGTTTTGAAGTGCGACTGAATGATTGACATATTAGTTAGTTGTCAAATCTAATGTCAAAAAAAACGTTTGTATGGGAAATAGAAAAGGGCTGTTTTATGGTTTTCCCGGAAATGAATCAATTTTTTTCAACTTTTATGCCTTCCCTGAACCTCCACGAACATTTCAAGGATAAGATAAGATAAATCCGTTCAGCTGTTCTCGAGTTTTAGCGAGACTAAGGAACAGCAATCCATTTTTATATATATAGAAGATAAATAATATAACTTCTAATATAGGGCGAGCCAATCAGCTGTTTGCTTCTCATCATCATTCATCTTAGAAAATAGAGTAAAATGTTATAGTAGTTTATTATTGAGAGTAATGTCAGTATACCTGTTGGTTCCACGCCAGCCCCTGTACATGGTCGTGGGGCGCGCTCCTCGCTCCGGGCGCCATGGGCTGGCTGGTGTTGTTGAGGTCCCAGATGAAGATCTCACTATCAGAAGCTCCGGAAGCTAACAGGTTCTTCTGGTACGGGTTTATATCCAATGCTGACACTTGGCCTTAAAAAAATCATTAAAAACAAAGTAATAAAACTATATTACAGCTATTGATAAGGCAAAGAGAGATATAGTACAGCTAAAATAAAATATATAAGACTTTTTGAAATAAATTCTGCCTTTGACAATTAAATTGTATATGTGTAAGAGTAATAACATAAAAATACAGTTTTATAGACATAGTCTCTTATGAATTATTGAAAAAACTTTATTGAAAGTTATTATTATCCCCAGGATACAGGTTTCCTAGTGTGGGGTCCAAAGATAATCAAAATTTTAAAATTGCTAAAAACATATTACACCTCAACCAATGGAAAACATTGTAAAAGTTTAAGTTAAGTTTAAGAAGGTTAATTGTGTCATATGTTAATCTATTATGTAAACATTGTGGTTTTTCAATAAAGTTTTTTTTTCAATAAAAATATGATTTTGTAGACATAGTCTCTTATGAATTATATTCAAACAATTTAATTTGATTGCATCAATAGAAAAAGTATTGAGATCAATGGTAATGAATAATTATATAATAATTATATATATATATATATATATATAAGGAGTATGTAACTTGATAGACTTTAATTTCCTTATATCTTTATAATCTAAGAATAGTAAATTTCATTCATACCACTTTAAATTTTTTGGAATTTAATAAGAGATTTTCAACCTTCTGCTAAGGTTAGTTTGATATACTTTCAAAGAGAGAAAGCACAGCCACTTTTATAAACTTTTATTTACATTTTTTTTACTTAATTTTTGAATATGGAGAGGATAGAAGTCAAATGACACCTCTTATCAAGTCATAATTTTAAATGTATGATCTTATCAAGTTATAATTTTTAAGTGCATTTATGAATGTAGAGACACATTATAATCAATCTTACTTATTTTTCTATTACCATTCTTTAAGTACCTGTATGTTTAGTACTGCTACCAACAAAGGCTTCTGAAGGGTTCTTAAGTAGTTTCTCTGCATTATAAAACTCCAAAAGTCCTCCGTCACATCCACCAACAATCACTCCTGCACCCGACCACACTAATTTCTGAAATCTATAAATAATGTTATAGTATACATCTACTTGTTTAAGAAACTTAGGTGGCTACGGACTATTAATTAATGAAAAAAAGTTAAAAAATATATATTATACAAATTTTTGCCCATAACTTCAACTACTATGCAGCTGATCTTGAACTCTATTCTGCCTTAAAGGCTGTAAAACAGATTTTGGATCTTATTAGGTCATTTCTTTTTCCGTCAAACGGCATGAAGAGTATCCTATATACAGATTTGTGATACTTTTTATGCCATTTGACCTTTTAGTTCTAAGCTAAATCACCACATATTTGTAAAACTAACATGACTTTCTTTTATAAATATTAATATATTATATAATAATTATACTAACAAAAATATAAGTTAAAAACAAGTTATCAGAGCCTCCTGTTGTTATTTTCATGTTGTAGATATGTGGCAAGTTCCAATCATTTTTATTATATCGTTAACAGAATGGCCATATTACATGTCTTATTAAATTTGTATAGGTACATAAATTTAAAAGAATGATAGTTAATATCATATAACTTTGAAGTCTTTTGATTCGATTTAATTATAAATTAACAATTACACATGTTTCAATCACTGTTTATCCATGTCAACAAGATATTTAACTTGAAACTTACTTATGTTCTGTTTGCAGACTAGATTTAAGTTCCAAATCGTATGTAGGGTCGCCGAGGTTAAGTGAATACAACTCTAAGCTAGCGTTAGAGCTGAAGGAAGCGTCAACTTGCTGTGCCGCCGAGCCGGTAACCAACATAGAGGGATAGAGCTCCGCTGGCGACCAGCTCATGTTCACCGTCCGTTTTAACTCTTTGATCTTCATTTTGGTGCACTGAACTCACTAAAACAACTGATAAACGCCTTAAAACACAGCACCGATAGGAATAACAAAATTATGTCACGGGTTTATTATCGTCACAAATGAACGTTATAAATGTATCTCAAAGAGATAATGGTTTAATGTTACTAAGATTCTTATCAGAAATTTTTCTTAATTTAAAAAGTGAGGGAGAACACTTAATTACTATTTTATTTACCATAAAAACACCGTGTTGGCACTTCCAACGTGGCTGACGTAAATATTCCTGATTTGACAATATTATGTACCACAAATGACATATGTGTAAAGTGACAACCGATCATAGAAAGAATTTTCAGACATATGATGTACTTACTGACACAGACATTTCTACTTTTATTTCTACAACGGCATTTTCAACAAATTATTATTTAATCTAAACTCTTATTTTATGTTAATATATTTTTCACATTAGTTCTATTATTTTTTACTGTTTATGTAAAGGAAATGAGCAAGAGCAGAAAAAAGTTTCTTGGAATTGGAATTAAAAGAATGAATTTAAAGATCTAGGTATTGTCAATTTTGATAGAAGGAGAAAAATATTAAATCTTTGATAGCTGCTTTATATTTTAATAATATATTTCTAGGCAATAAAAAAAGCAAACGTTAATCCGATCTCAAAGTAAGTAAGGAAACCTTACTTAATGGAAACAATATTTCAATATAACAATATTTAGAATAAAACCTTTTAGTACATAAATAAATATCCTATTTTCATCTTTGTTTCATTCTTGTTTGTTTTATGTTTTCCTTTCATTTCCTTAGCGGTCGTCGTCGTGACGACAACTTAAATAGTTGTTTATTTTTTCATCAAATTCATTGTATTGTAAAACAGTTTTTTCACTACAGGTAATATAAAATATACTGAAAGTATTCTGATTTGTCTCTCACTGATTTTGATATTTTCCCGAAATATGTCTTTAACTCGTCAGTTAAGTTTAACTTTGGATGTCAGACCATTTATTTAATCGATAAGTTCACGATAGGTCAAAGTAACTAGCTTGCATGCTACATTAGAATCCTCAAGATATATAGTTAACTTGTCTGAATTGCAGTAACAATGCCGATAGCAATGACAAAAGAGGAGTGGTCGCGCATCAAGCGCTGGACGGACCTGGGCCGAGAAGACCCGGACACGGTGAGGAGGCGGGAGTATCTGAAGTATCAGAACGACACCAGCCGCGAGATGACCAAACAATGGCCGAATTCATTAGAGGTATAATAAATTAGTGTATGTATAGACTATAGGTATTCAACAAAGAAATCGTTAGTAAGTTTGGTAAATAGAGATCTTGCTTGTTTTTTGATAGGTCTGGTTAGAGGTCCACTCTTTTTGTAAATTTGTGTATTATAAATTTTGCGCAGTCTTCTATAAAGTATACTGGTTCACTGTGTTATCAATGAATGTTTAAACAAATAACTATTTTTCATTGTCTGTTCAAAAGTTTGCCGCTGGTTCGTGATCCATTTTGGTCAAAAGATACTTAAACTGCTTCCCGATTTTAATAATGTAACTAACATTATTGAGAAGAATGTATAGTTTTATATAAAACTGTAAGATTTACACGATTCGAAAAATAACCCTTGCTTGAAATTTAACGTTTTCTGTTGACTTTTCTGAGGAAGTGTAAACTTCACTTAGATTTATGAGAGTTGTAAGGTAATGTCTAAAAACAAAATTATAGAATGTAAACAAGAGGAACGAAGAGTTGCGTCGCGCTCGAGTGGAGGCCGCGGAGAAGACTAACACTCGTTTCTACCAGCGATATGTGAAACGGAAGAAAGAGGAGCAGCAGAGACTCATGTACAGCGCCAGGGACACGGTGTTCAAGAACAAGGACGCTCCCAAACTACTGCTCAGGTTAAACATCTACAAGCACACATTTGAGATAATTATGAAATATAAGAACATGTAAAACATATGTTAATGTAATTAGCGCGGTGATAGAGACGGCTATTCAGAAGGAGCGCGAGGAGCAGCTCAAGTTCAAGCAGAAACTGAAAGAGGAGGCGGACGAACGGAAGAGACAAGACGACGACGATATCATACGAAAAGCGAAGGAGTGGAACGAGCTCGTGGAGACCAAGAAGAAGAGGAGGTTCGACGCTAACAAGCGACACCAGAAGGATATATTGGAACAGTTAGTACAGATTCTTATTATAACTTTAAGAAGATTCATTTATATTTAACTTTACTTTAAATCATTGAACTAAGCCTAATTTTCAAAGTTCATCTTTATTATATACCTATAAGCTATGAATCTTCAAAAGTAAGTACTTTTTTACAACTATGGTAAAAGTATTTCATTCGAATATCTCACAGAGCTCACGAGGTCGCGGAGCGCAATCGCAGAGAATACGAGACGGAGTTGAATTTACAAAAGATCGACAATATAAAAGCCAGGGAACAGATGGAAGCTATCAAGAAGTTTGAGGAAGAATTTGTAAGATATGCGACTACCGAACGTAAAAACATTACAGTGATAAAATGAAACATGTCGTTATGATATAGTTAATTAAAAAAAGAAAATTTCATATGGGATACTCAATAAAAAAATTGTTTGGAATGTTTCAGAGTGCTGCTGAAAAGTGTCGCATCTTAAACGACCTGGAACAGGCGAGGTCAGAGGCAGCGACGAGGCGTGAGGAGGTGCGCGCCCGGGACCAGCTGGACGACCGGCTCATACAGCTGCTACAGAAGACACAGGCCAGGGTAGAGCAGAGGAGGAGGAACACTGAGAAACAGGTTGGACGGGCGACCGTGTGACGTCACACACGGCTAACAGTAGACTAACTCAAGGAACGATCTTTTCAAATATGTGAATTCTATTTCAGATCCAAGCAGAAAAGCTGCAGGTGCTGGAGAAAATAAGTCAGAAGCTGGAATCAGGAGACGCGGCGAGAGAAGAGAAAGAACAGAGGATACTAGATAAAGCGATTAAGGAGAAGGAAGAAGTGTGAGTGTAATCTTTTTGTTTACACAACAGAAATAACATTAAAAGTAACAGGCGATCTGTGTCACAGTGCGGAGGCCCGGCGTCAGGCAGACGCTCGTAAGAGAGAGCAGTTCAGGGCGCAGCGCATGGCGGCCCGGGAACAGTTCCTGAAGCAACAACAACAGACGCTGCATGAGTTTAACACTATGAGACAGTGGGAGGTGATGAACAGGTCGGGCCTCGGACACGGGGGGTTATACTTTACGTTTAGAAAACAATAAATATATAATAATCTATTATAACCCAGATTCAAGAATGCAGAAATATACGAAGACTTCCAAGCTCGCCTTCGCCATGAAAAGGAAACCAAAATAAAGCAATATCGTGAGGATATCATAAAGCAATGGGTGAGTTTCGTCACCAATTAACTCGTTCCAGTTAGATCAGCACCTTCTCATGACAATCGTTCTAGCACGAGCGAGCGGAGCGTGAAGCGCGCGAGCTGGCGGAGACGCGCTACTTCTACGGCGAGCTGGCCGAGAGCAAGCTGCGGGACGCCGACAACAAGCTGCTCACACACGGACACGCGCTGCTGCAGGAGGCGCGCGACCACCAGCGGCCGACATACGCGCTCACACAGGCCATACGAGTACCCACTCAGATCTACCCTCCATACGAGTGATTGACTCGCATTACTTCTCGAGTATGATGTGTAATAACAGTGGTTGTGTTCTATAGCGCTACTGCAAGCTGTACCGCTTGTACCCGATGCCGGAGCTGCCGTCGTCCCAGCAGGAACACTTCCCTCGCTACGGACCCAAGGACATGTCGCTCCCCGACCCTCACTACCGCTACCCCGAGCCTCCCGTGTTCGATGATGACAAGAGAGACGGATTGAACGATCCCCAGGTAAGTACATACGTACTGACACGAAGAAAATAAACACGATATGAAACAGCTCATAAGACTGTATTAGGGACAACACAATCCATCCGTCAAGAAATTGTATGCATGCAATAAGTCTATTTTAGATATTATATCAAAGCTTTAGTAGTAATCTATAGAATGAAGGTTGAAAAAAAATTATCTCTTCTCTTTATTCAATTCATCCTATATCTATTTATTAATTAGAAAATAAATTGGTATGATTAACCGAAAGATAGCAACAAACCTACACAACGATACATTACATATTTCGAGGATACAGTAATATAAATCTTGCAAGTTTTCATTCTATGTTTAATAAGGTCAACGACTTTCATTTCAAAGTAGTTGCGGAGACTCCTTACTGTTCGTTTGTTTGAAAAGGAAACGTTCAGATTACTGGTGTTAATAAAGTGGTTGAAACTTGTCACGCAGCTAGCTGCTTATTCAAATATTTAATGTCAGAAGGCCGGTCCGTCCGCGGCCAGTGAGCAGCCGGCGGAGGAACAAGACTACAAGAGAGCCGCGCCCGCCAACGGACTACAGAGGAAGCCCTCTAAGGTATCGGAAAAAAATATTTATTTATTTATTATAATATTTATTTATGTACCAAAAAGAAAAAAAAATAGTTACAATTAAAGTATTATAAAAGAAATGTGATGTACAAAGGATAACTTATCTCTTAAAAGAGATCTCTACCGGAAACCCTTTTGATAGAGGAAATGAGAAGAGAAATGTTGTGTGATATTGTGACAAACGTAACATTGATATTACAGTCTAAGAAAAAATAAAATTCTACTGCAATGGATAAAGATATATTATGTTTAATTCCAGAGCGACTTGAAGCTGCCGTCCGTGGAGTAGCGGGGCTGCGAGTTTGATAAATGAAACGACGAAATATACAAAATAATCCTTTATTATTTATATTAACTTTATTATGTCTGTATGATCAGAGAGCGTATGGCACCAGCTTGTCGCCTGTGACTAGAGTCGTGTCATGACAAATTTCTAGTAATAATACAATAGCGTTCGTTGGGATGCGAGTCTCCTACAGCGACTCACTAGTGATTTGGAACTAGCCTATACAATACAAGATCTTTGGTCGCGTTCAGTGTAGACCGCCGACAGGTGGAACTGAGATTCTAAAGTCAGAATAAATACGTCGGCGATCAAAATGTGAAATATCTTAACACAGCAACTCGCGGTTCCCTTTGGCTTACAGTATTGTCTGCGGGTTATCATTAAACATAGAGCATTGAACTAAATAAAATGTTATAAAATACTATTTAGTTTCACTCGACCAAAGTAAACCTAGTCTGCAAATAAAATATAATAAATAAAAAAGAAGTAAACGTCATGACTATAAAATGTATGAATATAATAAATCAGTAAACATCGTTATAAATAACAAGTTTCCAAGTCGGACTCCATAACACTACAGTAAGTCTTCGTCACTCGTTCGGTCGTCGTCGGCTATCATCGGCTATCGTCGGTAGTAGTCAGTCACCGTCGTCAGTATCTTATCCTAATTGTACTTTCTCGTCTAACATAGAAGACTTGGTCCGTCACACTGCAAGTCTGACGGCTTCCGTCCCTTAAATCTAATATATTACAATGATATGGCAAGGTTTGCGCTTACGATTACTACAGGAGGTATCGAATTACACATTATTTTAACATTAAGACGTTGCGGATTTAAATTCTTGTGTATATGAGGTAAATTTCAATCTAATAAACATATATAATATTTATAATGTTTCAAAACCTAAAGCGATCGTAGTCGCGCTGTTAGAGAACATTCTAAAAATAACAGTAAATAAAGACAGCAAAATATAAATGTACGAACATCTCTCATAACCCACTCATTACAGTCATATAGGCGGAGTGGTAACAACTTACAAACGAAATTACAAACTAAATATAAAAATAAATTAAGTAACACAATAATTAAAACATTCTTCGATTTGGCACTAAACTAACTTAACCTAAGAGACGGTCCTCGCGTCCAACGAACGGCACGCCTTCAATAAATATCCGTCGTTCGTTGAGCGGTCCCGTCTCTATAATAATATTTGGTAATTGTGGTGGTCTGGTACTACATTACATTCCGCTCGGGAATCTTAAACTATTAACGAAGGCACCAAAGAGTGTATCTAAACTATAACAGTGAGAGCGTCCGAGATCTCGTTCTGTGCGTGTGGTGTGGAGTCAGTTGTCTCTGTGCTGGAGCGAGGCCAGGCGGCGACTCACGGACTCCAGTCTGTGGCTGTAGGAGGACGCCGCGTCCCCGCGAGGGCACCTGACACACACATACACACGTTGTACGATGACTGACTACAACACATACACATACAAGGTATACCGCCTCACCTGGCCACGCCGCGCTCGTCGCGCGGGGAACTCGTCACGAGGGGAGACCGCGGCAACAATTCAGCTACTGGGGACAGACACACTCACATTACACACAATACAATAACATTTAAAGCTCATTCATGATTCTCGATGTTCCCTGAAAATGAACTATATAGTAATGATTTCTACTGAGCGCCCACTCGATTACACTACATATGTATTTTTTTTTATTTAATATATTTATTTACATCTAAAAGAAGCAGAGGTAACTTTGTAGTACGCTTTAAAAAACTATCAAGCAGACTCGTAGTATTATGAAAAATTGCCAGGTTTACTTGTAGGGGAGAGCGGCGGACACAGTCTCATGTCCTGCTGCAGCAGACGACGAGCAAGGGGCGGGGGCCGGCTGGACGGAGTACACGACGAGAACGATCTGTGGGGAGACGAACTAGAGGTTGAATATAGCTAATGATAGTTGGGAAATATTACTTCAGAAGTATGGCCTTAAATTAAAATGAACTGTGAATCAATATCGTAATTAAAAAATTCACAGAGACAAGCTAAATTCATATTTGAAACCCTCGATGTGTGTGTACTGACTGTGCGAGCGCGGTGGCGGCGTTTCGTGCGGCGTTTCGACGTCTCACCAGGAACGACATGCGGAGCACGGCCACACACGACCACGCCACGCTCCTGGAACACAATATATGTTCATTATATAACAAAGTGTAAGGTGCTAGTATCATCTGGTCGTATGTAAGCCTCACTTGAAGGTGGTCCTGTGCTTGTCGTCCGCGCCCAGCCTCCGCTCCAGCTCGCCGTAGCCCGCCACCGTCCTCTGCAGGTACCTCTTCTGCCACACCAGCGCCTTGCGACAGCTCTCCAGGAGCACGCAGCGACTGTGCAGGTAACGGATCTGGAACGAACACCGACATCACATAAACGATCCTCCTCGCACAAACAAACATTACTATACAGGTCGCAGAAATAAATATTTAAAAAAAGAAGTCCTTTGACGTCCGTCAAACACAACACGAGAACGTCCGTCACATAGAAACATGAACGTGTGACTTTTCTATATATATTTTTTTAGTTTTTGTATTAATACTGATACATTTACGATGAGAACTTGACGGAATATAGGGATCGGGAATATGGAAGCCATCGAGACGGGGAAAAAAGACGCGCCCATGATACCAGATATGGTGTACGTAGAGCGTCACTAGTCACGAACAGGCGGCCGGGACGACACTAATATATATTATGATGACAGCATGTGCGGCGACCATCCGTCCGTCCACAAGACGGAGCCCGGCGACGACGGGAGAGGGAGCGAGAGAGACGCGGAGAGAGAGAAGAAGACACCGACCGCGCAGAACAAGGTGCTGCCAACGGTACGTACTGCAGTTAATGTAGCGAGTGGAGAGACGTGACGGACACGTGATCACATCTGTTTGTCAGTCGTCACAGATAGACAAGCCGGTGTCGGAGCACGGGCTGCGGGTGACGCGCCACCGCGCGGGCGGCAGGGACCTGGTGCACGGTGAGTGGTGTGGCTCGTCCGGTTAGTGGCTATGTGTGTGTTTGTGTGTGTGTCGGTAACGGTGTCGCATCCCCAGCGGCTCTGAGCAGTTTCCGTTGGCCGCCCTACCTGCTGGGCGTGTGGGTGTGCGTGGTCCTCCTGACGCACGCCCTGCACTGCGCCGCCGCCCTCCTGGAGCGCTCCCTACCCGTCGTGCGGTGAGTCCGTTTCGTCCTCACTCTCTTATTAGTTTTCTTCTGTGACGTATACATATGTTGGTCGTGTGTGTGTGTGTGTGTGCAGTAACGCGTGTCAGTACTCGCGCTCGTGGACGGAGAGCAGCTGGGTGGGGTCGGGGCGCGGCGAGGGCGTGCTGCGCGTGCGGCCGCTGCTGCTGGCGCTGTGCACGGCCCTACTGTACGTGGTGTACGGCTGCCTGCTGGCCGCGCAGGCCCTCCTACTGTGGGCCATCGAGCCTCTGTACGCGGAGGGCGAGGCGCCCGGGGACGACCTGCCGATACTCACCGACTACCTCGACGATTGCAGTCACGTCAATGTTGCACACAAGCAGTAGGACGAACATTACTTCGTATTATTACTCGTTAAAATGTATTTATAAACCATTTGGTGATATAACATAAAAAATTACATTAATGTAGCCATCTAAACATTACCACGGGTACCACGGGTTCATCAACCTAGAGGTCCGTGTGTCCATAGCGGCATCCTTCTCTATAATAAACACGTCACTAACCCAAACCGTAGTTTCATTGTGTTGGTAAATAAATAGTACATTTATATTGGCAATACTGTATATTCTCTATTATATATATCTACTGTTATTCTATGTTTGTCTTTGATATGCCTGTCTATTTTTATAAATGAAAAATGGTGTGCTTTGTAGAAAGTGTAGTCCTTAATAAAAATTGATTATGAACATATAAAACAAGTGTTATACTTCATATTAAGATGGTAGCAGAGCGTGGTTAAAGATGGATAAATGTTAAAAGTAGAAAAGTGAAAAAAAGAATAGAACGAAAGTAATCTAAGAAAAATAACAAAAGAATAACCACGTAAAATGGCGGCGAAAAATAGCGATATAAATATTCCAATTTTCGATGGTTCAGAGACGAAACCTCTTAGCATTCAATGGATTCACCGTACGGGTGCCGGGTCTATAGTAGGTTGGAAAATACGAATTCTCAAGTTCCTAGAGTTTAAAATGTGTAAAGATGTTATATTGCGAGCTAAAACGAGAGCCGACAATGATACCTGGAACGATCGTGATATTCAAGCTACCAACTATATTAACAGCGCAATAACGAACAGACTATTAGAATACGTGAGTGAATTACAGACGGCATACGAAATAATTAAAAATTTGAGGAAATGTATCTAAAAAAGTCAACGGCCTTACAAATTATATGCCGTCACAATTTAGAAAATGTGAAATTAAAGAATTATACTGTAAGTCAAGGTTTTTCGACGATTTTGAAAAGATTGTCAATGAATTGAAACAAGCTGGAGCGATATCAGAGCAAGAAAAACTCAAATGGACCATCAAATGGATGTAGAGACTGCATTTTTAAATGCTAAAGTTTTGTCTGAAGTTTATGTAAAACAGCCATTAGGTTATGAAGACAACAAGATTAGTTGATTTGCTGCAAAGACCAAAATGTCATTGAAGATATTAAAATCAAGCTATTCAATGAGTTTAAAATGAAAGATTTAGGTACAGTGAGGAAGTATATTGGTATAGACATTGAGTATAAATATGAACAAAACAATATTCTAACTTTGAGTCAGGAATTTTAAAATGAGTCTTTAGCAAAACGTTATAATATTGCAAATGATAAATTATTCAATACACCAATGGAAATTAATTTGAAATTAAGTAAATGTGAGTGAAATTATGACATCAAGTATAGAAATTTGATAGGATCATTGTTATATATTAATTCTGGCACTAGACCAGATATTTCATTCTCTGTAAGTCACTTAAATCGTTTTCAAAACTGTTGTAATGAGACATTTTAAATATGCTCTTAGGGTGTTGAAATATTTGTATTTGACTAAGACATTAAAACTAAAATATTATAGAAATTACAATGCTGATATACATATTAGACTGCTATGTTCATGCTGATTGGGCAGGAGATGTACAAGACTGAAAATCTACTACCGGATATGTAATTAGATTATATGGAAATGTTATATTTTCTAAATCTAAAAAACAAAAATGTGTGACAAAGTCGTCCACTTTTGCAGAATATATTGACCTGTCTGAAGCAGTAACTGAAATAAATTTCTTAATAAGCTTAATTAATGATGAATTTGCAAAAATTTCCAACCCAGTAAAAATTTATGAAGATAATTCAGTTGCTGTAGCTATTGCTTTTTGAATTTGCTGAAATTTTACCAAGAACTCTAAGCACATTGAGGTGCATTATCATTATATTCATGAAAATGTCAAAGCAAAGTTAATTGAAGTTATTAAAATAGAGTCTGAAAGTAATGTTGCTGATATATTAACTAAAGCTTTGGGAAGTGTTAAATTTCTTAAATTCAGAGAATTATTAAACATAAAAAATTAGAGAATGTTATGTATGTTAGTTATGTTATTATTTTTTATTTAAGTAATATAAAACATTATAATTAAATACTTGTATCGTAGACTGATTGAAATATAAATGTAAGGAGGCGTGTTGGTAATAAATAGTACATTTATATTGGCAATACTGTATATTCTCTATGGTACTCTTATTCTATGTTTGTCTTTGATGTGCCTGTCTATTATTATGAATGAAAAATGGTGTGCTTTGTAGAAAGTGTAGTCCTTAATAAAAATTGATTATGAACAAATAAAACAAGTGTTGTCGTTCATATGAAGACATTCCCTGTCCGTACTCACCGCCTGTTCCTTGTCGTCGTTCCTGGCCTCCAGCTGTGCTCGCAGCTCCCTGATGGTGTCTGTCAGTGCCTGCCTCTCGTCCATCATCTGCTGCAGCTGTCCGTGGGGCGCCTCCGTCAGACACCGCCGGAGGGTCGCCATCTCACGAGCCAGATCTGTTTTTTCGTTTTCGATTCCAGTCTGTATGAGAAGAAAACTTTAAAATAATTCCTTATTTAGAGTTAAGGAGAGTGTGTGAATCTCTGAGGTAGTACTCACGATAGTATCGTTGTGTTTGCTCCTGGCGGCATACTTCTTCTCGAGCTGCGCGATAGTATCGCTCTGCGTGTGTAGCAGCTCCTTGGTCCTCACCAGCTCCACGCCGGACTCGTGTTTCAATCTAGGAAACATTTAAACATTATTAACCTCCTGACCGCCTGCGTACTACAGATAGAACGTATAATTTAAAAAAATCTACCCGTTTTATATGAGGTTTTAATTACAAAAGTAACATGTAACGACATCTTTTGAATCGTTAAAAATGTAAAAATGCATCAATTGACACGATGCGAGTTGATTCTTTTTGCAAAATTGGATCAAAGAACAAATGTGTCGACATGCGCTCGAGCAGAAGTAAGTTAAATCGTATTTAATTGAGGTAATTATTTTTTGGCACTTATTGCTAGCTGAACCCAATTAAATACAAATTGACCTCTTATTTTTTGAGATAGAATATCTTGCATGTTATATCACATGTTTTCTTTATGTCCTCTGCTTAGGACATATACAGAGTATTGAGACGAGACAAGGCTTTTAATGTCCTATATGTAAGACATTGGCAGATATCAATGTTACAATGTTTTTTCTTTTTTTTCATAATTAAAAGATGAAAATATATTGGATGCCCCCTATTTAACACTGATATTGACTGTGGAATTCCGATGCATGGAACTGAGACAATTAACAAGAATAAATAATTAATTAATAATAATTAATTGTCAATCAATTAAAAGTTAAAACAAGGGGTTGTTTGTTGATTTTGATACCAAATTTTATTTTTTTATAGTATAGATAGTTGTACTAACTTCATTGTAATCGGTTTAGAAGAAGTTGTTATTGTTCAGAGTTAATTTTTGACTAACAATGTTAACTCGGGCTTGAAATATTTTTATATCTGTTGATCGATAAAAAATTGTTTCTAAGACAATTTTGTGCTTTTACGAATATTTATTTAAGAAATTGGTGAGTTTTGTTAATATAGTAATTAAAATATTTTATTTTTCCATTTAAAATAAAAAAAATTGAAACAAAATTAACATAAAAAGTAATATTCTTTTATGTTATTTGAGTAATACAACCCTATTACAATGAATTTGTCCTATACATAGGATGTAGAGGAAATCGAAATTTTCACGACATCAAATATTTATATATATAAAAATTTCCTGTCACGTATTTGTCCGCAATGGACTCCTAAACTAGATAAACCGATTTTAAATTTGATTTTCATTCCGTGTGCATTTTGATCCAACTTGAAAGATAGGACAGCTTACATCTCAATTTATAGTCACAATATTATTTTATTGCAAATTATTTGTCATTATTACAATTATCTGTTGACTGAGTTAAGTATTCAATAGACGGCGCTATGTTAAAAATACAAACGTCATATATGTATGAGCGACTATTTAATAATAGCATAATCACCATTTGTTTCTGAGGCTAAGGTATAACCGAAATTTATTTATTAAAAAAACGTAACGTATTTCTTGATTATTGATACGTAGTTCGACGGGTCTTCTAGTTTTTTACATTTTTTTCCATGTATTCTTGGACCCTAAGTAGCAAACTGTAATTTTTTTTTAAAGAAATTCCATAAATCCAGCTTTCTGTAATCAGGAGGGTATGTTGTACCAAGTGTATTCCGAGCATATTCAGTGTGAGTACCTCCTCAGTTCAGCCAGCTCCCCCCTGAGTGCGGCGGTGGCGGCGGCCGCTTCATCCAGCTCTCTTCTATGTTTGTTCCTCTCGTGTTCGAGCATCGCGTGTAGTTCTCCGGCCCGCCTCCGCTCGGCCTCCAGCTGAAGCCGCGCCGTGCTCAGCGAGCTCTGCAGTCGAGCGCGTTCCTCTGACTGAGATACAAACAGACATGAATATAAATAGTTCCGTCCGGTTCCTTAAAAGATGATAAGCCGAGCGTCACGCCAGTCACCTCCTGTTTGTGTTGGTCAGCGGGCGAGTGTTGTTCGGGCAGCGTCCGCTCCAGAAGTTTCAGCCGCTGCAGCAGGTCCCTCTCCCGCTGCTGCGCCTCCATCTCGGACTTCATGGCGGTCTCGAGTCGCCTCTTGAGCATGTCGATCATGCTGGAGTCCTGGTCGTGTAGCGAGCTGGCCGTGTCCTTGTGTGAGTCCAGCAGCAGGGCCAGGCGCGCCGAGCGGTCGCGCTCCGCCTCCAGCCTCAGCCGACCCGACTGACACTCACTGGACAGCTTGTCTCGCACTCTACAGAATCCGACGCATGGGTGACATGATGAAATAACAAATAATGTCAAATGCTCAAGACGACTTAAATAAATTATCTACCTGCCTACCTTATATCTCCAATATAATCTGCTAACGATAAATATACAAAAGACATGTTACTTAATTTTTAAATCAAAAAAACAAAATTATGCCTCCTCATGATCCATTAAAAATTAATAACATTATTACCCAGGAAAAAATTTGCGAAACATACTTAGGTCTGAGAATAGATAATTAATTGTTTGACGTGGAATGCACAGATTGAGCACATACGAGCTAAACTATCATCCCTTACAGGCGCGCTTCGACGAATTGTCCGGTGTATTCCACGACAGATACGCTTTACGATTTACAATTCTTTGGCAACCCCCTTTACTTTATCTAATTGAAATATGGGGCAGCGCCGCCAAAACAAAACTAGCAAATCTCCAAATACTACAAAATAAAATTATCAAAATACTATTCCATTACAATTTCTTAACGCCAACCACACAAATATATAAAGAAACTTAATTAATGACCATAAAACAATTACATATACTTAATACATGCATTCTTGTCAGAAAAATTTTAAATAGCACCCTCCATACCCTCCATGATAAGCTATCATTTACGATGCTAAAGAACACAACTAAACGTACACTGCGCTCGCGACGCGCTAGTTTCTTAGTTTTACCCAAGACTAAAACAAAACTGGGCAAAAAAATGTTTACATATTTCATTTCATTCAATGTATTCAAAACTTAACTATCGGAATATATTATACAAAACTATCCACTTGTAAGTTGAATACATTGAATGAGTAAAACAATTCGTTATGTAATTATATCTTAAGAAAGAACGCCATTTAATATTACTTGAATTTTTTGTTTCCATGTAGATGACTTTGTGTCTTTTTTGGAAAATAAAGATCTCTAAACCTAAACAAATCGACAACGTTGGAAATATTATGAAAGTACGAGTTACCTGTTGAGTTCAGATATGAGCGCGTCCTTATCTTTTAACCTACACTCCAGGTGTTCCACCTTCAGCTGCAGCTTCTCGTTGTCGTTCCTCAGCCGCTGCATGCGCTCCGAAGATGTCGATTTCATCGAGCTCGTAGACTGACTACACATAATACACCGTATAATTAATCACACTTTCATATTACACTATAATATGTTTTGGGTCAATGTCGAGGTAATACTCACTTGGATGAATTGAGAACTAGTCTCGGAACGTCCTCTCGTTCGTCGCTGCTCGCAGACAGAATCTAGGGAAACGGAGATTATTAAAATTTGTCCAAATAATATACTAGTGGGTGAGGTGCGGCTAAGGTACCTGGTCCATGATGTCGTCGTCCAAGGCGTGTGAGTAGTCAAGCTGGTCGCGCACCGCCCGCTCCAGCTCGGCCGTGGGGGAGCGCGCGCGTCCCGGCGTCGACTGAACTCTACACACACGACACCTCATTAACATTACTACCAGCCCACTCTAGATCGTCCCGTGCTCGTAGTGTCGTGACCCACCTGTCGCTCGTGTCCCGGAGCCGCCTCAGTTCCCGCTCCAGTTGTCCACATCGTTCACTTTCAGCGCACAGCTTGTGCCTCAACTCGCCTACGTCGGTCTCCTCCCGCAGTCTGTACAAAACAATACAATAAGTCACATAGTACATAAACATTAATACTACATAATCAGTACTGTCACTCCACCTGGCCAGGACCGTCTCCAGCTGTCGCTCCAGCTGTTCCTTCTCTCGCACCAGTTGTTCCAGCTGCTGCTGCTGCTCGTTCCAGGCCACGTGGAGCTGCTCGCTGTCAGATATTTGCTTACTCATCTGACTTATATTATTCCGAGCTTCCGTCAAATCCAGTTTAGCCTTAGCTAATTCGAAGGCCTGTCAATGAAAATGATAAAAAAAGCACGTTATCCTTCAGTCGAAATACACTGAGTACTAAACATATATTTATTTAGTGGATCGCCAACAAAGTATACACAAATACAACCATTTAAATTAATACAATTAAGATGCTATGTGCTACCTCAGTAACAGGCAACCACTTCATGTTGAAATAGTAACAGAGTGCATGAAGAACAAACAACTAGAAAGTAAAATCTAAGCTTAATTAATTAAACATTTTTTAATTGTTTTTTTGAATTTAAGAGGCCTTCCCGAGAATATACCAATATTAGTATTTTTAAAAAGAGAGTTAAACTTTAATGTCATTCTATTCAAAGGTGAATAATGAGCTAGATTACTTTTGCATTTTTTTGTATTGAATGAAGTATACACGAGCCATTTTGGGAGTTTGACAGGTGTATTAAAGTATAGTTTTGAAAGTAATTGCGGGCTGTCTATATCTTTATTTACAATTTTTAATACAAGCGTGAAATTGTAGGCAACCGTCAATATAACGATTTTAAACGAACACGTGGTAATTTTTAGTCAGCAAGGTAATAAGATACGCCTTAGAGTGACCCACCTTATCGTTGAGTTCCTTCTTGTGGAAGTCCAGTTCGTGTTGTAACAGTGATATTTGTTTCTTAATCTTGACCAGCTGCTTCCTGTCCCTACTGGCCCGCCGGTCCGTGTCAGCCTCCGTGTGTTTGTTCCTGGGCGAGGGGCTCCTGGACACCATCTTCATCTGTTCCCTCAGCGCCGCCACCTCCTCGTGGTAGAGGTCAATGTCCTCTCTTAGTATCTCTATCTCCGTCTCTTTATCTTTCAGTGCGTCGTGTAATACCCTCAGCTCCTCTATCCTCGCCGTGAGCTCCGTGTTCTGTGAGTGGACCCTGTTGAGTTCAGTCTCGTTGTTCTGAAGCCTGATCGTTGCGTTTTCCTGTTCCTTCTCTAGTTTAGTTAGTTTTAACTTCAGTTCTTTATTCTGTTGGCTGAGCTGGTCGTTCTCTTCTATAACTTTAGCGATGTCAGTGTTCAACGTGTTGACCGAGTCTCTCACTTGGAACAGTTCGTTTGTTTTCATTTTCAGCGCCTGTTTCAGTCCCTCCATCTCTTCGGTTTTGTCGTTCAAACATCTCTGTAGATCGTCCAATCTATCTAGATGTTGATTTAAACTGTCAATTTGTTGATTTTTTTCTGATACCAACTGTTCGAGTCTCTGTAGCTCACTTAGCTTTTCTCTGAGCTGCTTATTTTCTACCTCGTGTTTTTCTAGAGCTGTATTCTTGCTATTTAATTCGTCTATTTTGATTTCTAAATCAGAAATCTTATTTGCCAAGTTCCGTTTCTCCTTCGCAAGTTCTAATATCATGTTTTCTCGTCGTAGAATATCTTCCTTGAGCAGATTCAGGTCTTTTGATTTCTCATTAACTTCTTGAGTTAATTCTTTAAGTCTTTGTTCGAGCAGTTTCTTATTTGATTCAAAAGTATCTAATTGATTTTCGTAAAACTTCTTGTCGTTGTCCATGGCCGCCATCGTATTCTCCAACAGCCCCTTCAACGCCTCCACTTCTTCTTTTAACGCTGGAAACTCACACAGCTGTTCCTCAGCATTCTTGAGTTCTGCCTTACACAGATCTAACTCACTTCTAGATTTCTTTATTTCATGTTTGAGCTGCGTCAGTATGTCTGGGAAGTTCTCTTGCTTCACGTCTAACGTTATTCCCAGATCTTTCAAGGAAGTCAACTCATCGTCGTGAGTTCTGTTGTCGGATGGTTCCATTGAGAAGTTAATCTTTTTCGGTTCAACACTTAAATTTTTACTTTCCGAGACGTCTCTGTTGGGATACATTGAACAATTATCGGGTATATTTTGAGCAGTAGAATGTTTAATACCTTCACCAAATATTGTCGTTTCATTTGCACTCCTTTTGTAAACCTCTTTATTTTGGGTAGATGTTAGATGTATAGGTAGAGAGTCGGCACGGGGAGTAAAGTTTGTGGCATCGAAATGATCAGCGTAGTCCAAGTTCAATGAACTCATATTAGGTTTCTGTACATCGGGGGGTAGGGTCTTGTTTAGATTGGTTTTATGTTTGTGATCAGTGTTCGTGATGCTAGCGTTCTGTCCCTTCAACTCCGCCCGCCTCATTATCAAGTCCTGTTCGTCGAACTCTGATATGGAGACGATATCACTGAGTGTCCGCGCGGACGTCTTGGCCTGAATCACCTCGCTTTGGTCCTCAACCAGATTAAGAGCTGTCAATTAATCAAACAACAGTTTGGTTAACCTAAATATACTACACAAACTTGGAAATAGTCCAATTAAATTATATGGACGTACTAAATAAATTAATAAAATGCTCGATTTCTGTGCCAGCAAAAGTTAAAATAAATATAAATATTTAACAGTATAACGTGAGGTTTATGATATATATTTTTGTTATCTCAACTCACCCATAATTTCATTCAACTGTTCCTCCTTCTCAGCGAGTGTTCTCTGTTGTTCTCTGACTGTTGATTGAAGTTTTTCCTTATCATTTTCGAGACTTCGTACTAAAGTTTCGAGTTGTTCTATTTTGGATTTAGCGTTTAAAAGTTCCCGTTCTAATATTGCATTTCTGTCTTTAGGGTTACCTGCAAACACAAAAATTAAGAGATGATTATTCACATACCGGCCTGAGCATTATGCACGTAATGAAAACCTATAAACGACTGTTATCATTAGTGTATAATAACTCAAAGGTAATAAGTGAATTTTATGACTTTATCAGATTGAGAGCTGAAACTAAGAAAATCTACTCATCGCAGTTCACAAGGAGCACACGTACATGAATTCCCAAAGACCGCTTGTGTTTCTCCATACTTGTCTCTGTCCTCGTGGCTCTGCTTCAATCTCGCCAGCTGTTTATCTTTGGTAGTCAACTCCTCCGTCAATCTTTGAACCTGTAATGTTAATTTCTCTCTATTTATCCTCTCTATTTAAGTAGGCTGTCGTTGTGTATACGCTTGTATGCGTGTGTATGTATGTGTGTGTGTGCGTGGTCACCTCAGCCTGTGCGTCGTGTAGCTTCACGGAGAGCTGTGCGGCGGCGTCATGAGCCAGGGCGTCGGCATCACACCGCTGCTGCGCGAGACGTGCGCTCAGTGATGAGATGCGCAACGCCTGCTCCGACATACGAGCCTGGAGCACGTCACGCTCGGCGCGGACCTCCTGACACACAGACACGAGAACATATATACTACAACTCGCTACTAACTACGATACAAGCATCAAGTAAAGAAACATAACATTATAAAGATATAATTAGGATTAACGATGCGTTTAAGAACACAGCATACGATTCTTTGGTAACAGCAAACACTCGGAGCAGCTGGTATAATAATAAATGTATAAATAACTTTTATAATCTTCGCAAACTTAAAAGGTATAATAAGATTAACAAAAGCGAGAAATTGGGACAAAAGTTTACGCAGTACTAAAATATGGTACAAAAATATAATTAAAGGAATGCAAAAAATATTCGTAATATACTACCGGCTGTCCTCGTACGTCAATTTTTTAAACACATATCTTTGTATTCAGTGACAGGCTTCGTCAAACCTAGCTGTGAGTTAAAGAATCGGTAAGCGGAGTTAAATTTACCGCCGCGGCCTGGTTCAGTTACACTTGTCAACTAGATCAGCGGATCAATGTTTTAATCTTTGTATTATCTATTTAGACTTTATATAAATTGACCTTTAAAATTATTATCAAAACAAAGCAATCTTTTTTCGCAGTGAGATAAACGATATATTTTAAGTAACATTAGCAAGACAAATATACAAAAGAGAAGTTTCGTGCCTTGTTATTTATGTTAATTTATTTTTATTCTCCATTTCGTTAAGCTTTACAATGCAGGAAAAATTGAAGTTATGTTGTATCTACATATATTTTAATACAGGAAAATATTATTGGAGAAAATTCTCTTAGTTATTTATATTATCGAACCAATATAATTCGCTAAGGATAAACTCATACAGAAATTTACCTCAGGTAATCTTCAGATAATCTACACAAATCTATCGCATGGTTTAAATAGTACTTTATATATCAGTAAGGGCCGCGGTCCATCGAGACTATGTAGACAGTGTAAACATTGCCACGTGTTATTCTAGCGAGACTTCCAACAACAACAAACATCAAATATAACATTACTCAGTGTCTCTGAAACTACTTCAATATTTAGAGATCGTTGTGATCATTGATCTCTGCCAACGACGCAATCTTTAAAACAATATTTTACACGGCATTTATTGTACTTTTAACATTAGTGTTTTTAATTTTATACTGACTAATTTTACTGAAATTATAAAGCCAAAAGATCGTTTCTAAAAACATAAAACTAAACTCCAGAGTAGCATATAACCATCGAATTTCATAAGATGTTACAGACAGATTAGATATGACAAATGTTTATATTTATTTCATCTATACAGATTGTTAGTGTAAGCGTTGTACATGAAATGCATTAAATTGTACTCGTAGTTTTCATTTCTTTTAAAAGTTTATATAATAATGTGACAATAAGTAAGAATTGTTTGTCCATTCGTTGGTTACAAATAATCATGAATGATCTTAATTATAAGGTCTAGAGTTCACTGCACTTTAACAACGTCTTCTGCTGGATTAAAAATGTGATGAATAAATAGTACAAAACAAAAGAAACTTTATCGACATGAATATTATTTGAATCTACGTCTTCAAGATGAAGCATTTTTAGCTATACATTGAGCGTCAATTATATTAGAGTAATATCTTGCAATTTAAATGAAGCGAAATCACTTTCAATAAAGTTCGCAATTACAGTAAGAGTGACTTTAATAGGGGCACAATAGAGAGAGCATCACTTGACCACACTTGACTCTGTTATGATCAAATGCAAGGACCCGTTGACGAGAGCTTGTCAATATAGACGAGGTCGAGCAAGGTTAGCGAGACGACTAACGAATACAATACTTATATATTGGATGATGGAGATTAATAAACGACATGCACTAAACACTGTTTAATATTTAAAAAAATTTAAATGGAACTAAACTCTATAACGTTTTGGTCAATGGATCTTCCGGGAGATAAAAATATAGCTATCAGATATTTGTAATTGATAAAAAAATTATTTAAATGTTCAATATTTTGGCTTATTTCGAAGTGATAAGTTTGAGTAAGAGTCAAATGGGTTTTGGTTTAAAATAATAATAGATCTATTTCTCTTCAAACTTAATGTTAGTCATCAAACTATTTCATTACAGTAATTCCTAAAAGCCTTCAAAGTGAAACTACGGTGTTTAAATTTATTCATGTAATAAAAAGCAATCATTATAAAAACAGATAAATATTTTACAAACAACAGTTCATGTAACAAATGTACAATATATTATTTTTAAGCTTTCCGTCGTTTAGACAATTAACCAAAATATGAAAATTTGGCAGCGAGTTTGATGGTTGTAGTAAACAACGTTAAGTACCAACAAATATAGAACAAACAACGAACACAAGAAAAAAAACACGCAAAATAAAGTGCTAACAAAAATTATTATGAAAAAAGAAAAAATATGTCATTGACACGAACTCACCGTCAAATCTGGCAGGCCCATAGTGAAATACTTCCTAATATGAGTGAACAAGAACATCACCCCGAACACTTGACACCCACACACTCACACCCACACACACGCACACAATAATAACACACAATTAGAGAAATTGTTACATCGTAGTCAGGCGGCCGTGTTGATAAATGATATTAACATTGTATGAATGTTTTGTTGAATATACTATGAACAACCTTCGTGCAGCAGAACACGCTCGGGAACATCGGAACGACTGAAACAGAGCTTACAGCTGACGCGCTCCGGAGAGAGGAGCACAGACTGGACGCGGTATATAAATAACGATGCACCGTACTACATGCACTCGACATTATACTACTCACAATATAAAAGAAATATATAAACGCATATTATAACAATCCACTACTCGCTTAACAACAAGCCTGTATAAACGTCATGAAATCGATATTTGTTGGTTCTACTAATATTACGAATAAAGAAAATCTTGCCTTCTCCGTAATTCATAGCTCCGTACAGACGGTGGCATTATATTTAGCTCTCGCTCTATATGTGTGTGTGTGTGTGTATGTGTGTGTGACGTCATCAGGGCTGACTGCCGACCGGCGCCCGCGCAGTTAGTCTTTCAGTTTTTGTAATAGGATATTTAAATAGGTTACAACTTTTTAACGACGCGTTAACTGCAGCCCTCGGGTTTAACAATAGCAAATACAAATATAGATTAGTCATTAAAAAGTCAGTATTGAATTATCGCTCTTTCTTATTGTACATGATATACATTAAGCATGAAGTGCTACATAAGTTATTTGTGAGCAGTTTTATTTTATAAAAAACACATAGTAGGTAATATATTATGTAAAATCCTAAAATAAATACATTTTTCTGATAGTGTCACAACATTAAATATAGATGTTATACGCTTTCGTTCGTCATATCGTCACAGGTTAAATATTATATTAAATTATCATATTGAAAATTCTATTACTTCCAGTATCCTTAATTTTTATGAAACCTATATCACTCAATATTATACTAACAGTAAATATGTTTATCTTCAGCCCTGTGACTTGTGAGTGTGTATTGACTAATGAGGTACAATGAAAGTGGCGGTGATAGTTCATATGACGTATGTATATGTATTAAGGTTAGTTAAATCCGCAGACCGGGAGCGCTTTGTTTGTTTGTATCGCGTTATACATTATGTGTAACTTGTTCCTTGTTACCGAAACACATTTTTCTAAGAAAGTTTGCATCATAGGAAGCTATAAATACCACAGCCCATGAGTTATATGACGATGTGAAACGACTTAGAATATTCTGAATATTTTGTTTTATGCATAATCTGGAAATGGAAGCGGAAGTACGTCATTACATGTGTTTTATGTGTCCGCGGAGAGCTGGGAGACTTAGCGAGACGTATGATGAGAGTACAGAGATGCTGACTTGTTAATTGTACACAGAACAAACTTATGTTAGTGTTGAGGGTAGTTAGTTAAAAATAAAAGACGTAACAATTTCGATGTTATTCCTGAATATGGAATTTAAAACAAAACATTAATTATTCAAAACAAGTAATGATTATTAAATGTTGCAAATGTCTTTATGTTTCCTTTTATAAGTATTTTCTTCAAATACTAAAATATTATTTAAAGTGTTCCCGCCCCAACAGTAGCGTCGTGTATCTATCACACTATGTACCGCGTCTAGTTTTAGCAGACGAGCGCTGAATGAAATTAAAAATAGTTGTTATATGATGTAGCGACGAGCTTCAGAACCGGTTGAATTTATGATAATATTTGTTTTGCACAAATAAAAATCAGTCTTCAATGTGTATTCGCCCGTCGTATTTTTAAATCAGCCACAACATTTGGCAGCGGCCGTACGACACGTTAGCCACGTTCGTTGCGAGTACTCGTTGTACAAAAGACTTCAAAGCAAATTAGCAAAAACAGAGCATCAGGAACCAATATCGCACAAGTAGCGGCGACGAGACGCGACATATATATTTATATTACTGTGAAAACATGCGGGAATGAACGGCGTCTGATATAGGAATACGAACAAATCGAACTAATCTATTTACAATGAGACTAAGATTGACAGTGTTAATAAATATATGTACGGTGTTGTTAACAGTATTGTGACGTCATACGGGAACCATCATCACGTCAGTAATATTAAAAGCATGATTTGTCACTTGTTAATATTCTAATACGACGTGTGTATTTGTTAGAATCATCGGTTATACAACGCCGCCGAGCGGGAGGGAGTTTCGTCTTTGACATGCTTTGAAATACAGACTGAAGAGTGTGGGGTGAGCCGGTCCCAAGGGTGACTTTAAGACACCGGATGTAGACTTTGGACGTGCATGAAGAAAGTTTGGCTTCGGAGAATGTGACAATATGCTCGTCTTAGGAAATAGGAAACCTGGTCTTCTTCGTCGAAGATAATATATGTGTTTTCAGTGTGTTCAGACAGAACGAGTGTCTGTATAGTCACTCGTTATTTTGGTCTCAGTAACATCGCTAGCAAGGGCGTGCACACCATAGATGCAAAAAAGCACTACTCATATAACAACTAAACCATACATAACGCGATACGAATATTTACAAGTGAATAAGTTTTAAATAGCTAATTTAGTAAATAGTGAATTAATTTATTAATGAGTTATAGAAAATTGTAACTATGGGCTTTACTGGTGATGTCTGTTTAAAATTACGAGTGCATTTACAATTGAATTTTGAATTTATCGTTGATGTTTGTTGTCATTTCATGATGCGATTAAAATAATAACAAAGAAAAGGTGTGTAACCAGTTCAGATCGAACTAAAACAAACTTTATCTTCATACGCCCGACGTTTCGATTACTTTGCAGCAACCGGGATTATGGCAGACATCACGTCTGCCCATTAAAAATAATAAATTATGAGTAGTAATCCGGCAACATAAGTTTCATTATTATCAATATTTAAGTGGAGGAAATTATAATAACAATTGTTATTTTTTTCAATCATGTTTTGCTTATCTTACTCCAAACCTCTGTGCACGCCCCTGACCCCTAGAATGTGTACTGTGACGTCATATAACTGTTATTGTTACCCCCCCCCTCACCTGCGCCACGTCCTTGAGTCTCTGTCGCTGCATGTGCAGGTCGTCGATCCTCTTGAGCGCGGCGTCCCCGGCCCGCTCCAGCGCCCGCAGTTGCCCCCACACCCCGCTGAGCTCCTCTAGAGCCGGTCCCCTCGCCCCGCCTCCGCCCCGCGCCCCCCCTACTGAGACGTCCTCCGTACGTTCGGACAGTGAGCCGGAAGCTCGCTCGTAGGCTCCCTCCAACCGCACCACGGTGCTGTGTATCTGCTCCTCAAGAAGCTTGGCCTGCGGATAACATTATCTTTTTATACGAGTATATACAAACAGTACAGTGTTCGGTCACCAGCGTGTACCAGTCGTACTCACATCATCCCTGAGCGTGTCCCGCAGCTCCCCACCACCCCCCTCCTCCGCCGGCCGGCCGGTCTCCTCCTCCTCCCCTCCCCCCTCCTCCGCGGCGCCCCTCCCCCGCTCCATCTCGGCCAGCAGCTCCCTCATGGCCCGGTCCCTGTCGTCTATGGCCGTCCTCATATCCCCCAGTTCCCGCAGCACGTCCCTCTCCCTGTTCGTCTTGTCCTCCAGCTGTGTCTCCAGGTTGTGTATAATGTCTCTCAGTAAGGTCACCTTCTCCTCCGCTGCCTTAAGTTCCTCGTCCGCGGCTCCCTTCCTCTGCTCCAGGTCCGCTATTATCTGATTCATCTCCCGAGCCTGAGTTTCCAGTTGCTCGACCTTCACCGAATATTGAAATTATATTATAACACAGTAAGAATGACACACCAAAATCTACTACAAAATATTAGCAACATATTACATTTAAACTACTAAGAAACTAACACACACTAACACAGATTAGTAAAGCAAATAAGTCATATTATATACTTATATATACTACATTGGAGACACATATACATACAGGGTGACTGGTGAATTACTATCGATATTTGAGGACGTGATATTTGACGATCATATATGACGAAATAAAAATTAATATAACATAAATATTAATAAACTTCTAAGTAAAGTTAACCAAAAGTTATGTAATTAATTACGCATCGTGTGAACACCCTACAGATTAGGTATACACTGACACTCACACATACGCGTGTCGTGACGTAGTGTTGTATCAGCACGCCGCCGCACGCGTCCACACTTGAACACTTGGAACGTGTCAACACTTTACTTATTTATACGGAAATTTTGTCAAAAATTAAGTGCCTATTTTTTTTACATAATTCGAATGAGAATCATGTACCGAGTATTCTCCTTAAATATTGATAGTAATTCACCAGTCACCCTGTATATGTAGTTCTAAAAGCAATGAAAACGGTATACTACAAATGGTTATGGAGTTATTCAGGTGATGAGTGTGTAGGAGCAGCGGCGGTGAGGACTTACATGACGGTCGTGTTCCAGGCAGTTACACCGAGCGAGGCGCAAGCAGCTCATCTAAACACACCCGCACCCTACTTATATACCACCTTCACTCAGGTTAGGTTACAGTATATAGAGAACATTGATTAGGACAGACAATAGAGTGACTTCAATGTAATCATAAAGAATATTAGTAAATAGAGAAGGACGATCGAAGGTCACATATTAAATATAAAAAATATACATCAATATAGATTCAGAGATTCAGTTTGCCGACTCCACGTTAGTGCTCGATAGAGAAATGAAAGAATTGCGTGCACAAGTTTAAATAAAATTTTGAAAGAACATAAAATATAGCAAAAGTATCGAGTGCAAATAAAGCGGTGTGTGGATAGCAGTAGCCTCAGCTCCCCCCCCCTCCTCACCTCGGTCACTATTCTGGCGTTGTTCTGCAGGCGCGCGGCCAGCCGTGTGTTGTCTTCCCTCAGCTCGGCTAGCCGGTCCTCGAACTCGTCCCTCTCCGCCTCCCGCTCGGCCGCCTGCTCCTCCACGAACTGACGCGTGGAGCGCAGCTGACGGTTGGCCGCCTCCAGCTGGGGGAGAGACGGGGATATTACTTATCATATTTTTATTGGTGAAATCCATGTACACGGTACTACGTCTGTGTTATAAACATATTCACACATAAAGGCAGATACAATGAAAGCTGTCTCGTTAATTCACCAAGCACAGTGAAATCGTGTACCTTTTGGCAGCAAATGCCGTGAACCGGTGGTGTCCTTAGCGGCTGTGCAGCGTGCAAATATAAAACATATAGATGTTTGTGTGTGTTGCATATATACATGTGCATATGTGTGTGTGTGTTTGTGTGTGTGTGTGTGTGTCACCTGTTGCTTCAGGTCGTCCTTCTCCCGGAGCGCGTGGTCGAGGTCCGCAGCGAGCTGTGCGCGCGGCGTCAGTCCGTCCAGCGAGCGCCCGCCCGTGCCGTACCTATACATATTATCATTACACATATATATCTCTTCACAGTAATCACTCCATCTTCATCTATGCCCCCTCACCCCTCCACCACGTCGTCTCCGTGCGTCCTGTCCGCGGGTCCCATGAGGTGAGCTATCTTCATCATGGCTCCGTCGAGGTCGCTCCGCAGCAGACTCTCACGTTGGAGACACTCAGACATGGCTTCCTCGACGTTCTATACAAATAAATAATAATATTCGTATTAATAATATTCATATTTGTGAACGGTGATTCAAACCCTCTTTATAACGTTTTCAATACTAGTCAAGTCCTGTTAGTAAAATTTAGCTGTAGTATTTATCTTGATTGATATTTGATATTCATTCTTCTTTTGTTATTTGTATTTTTTTCGAATTAGTTTTGTTATTAAAATTTCTTTTGTTAACTTATTTTTTATAATATTTTTGTAAGCAGCTAGACAGTAATCTTTAGCAGTGCTGTGTACGTCTATAATTGGTACACACATCAGTTAAGTGTCAGTTTTAAATATTTAGTTTTAAGTGCTTAATTTTTACTGTTGATGTGCCGTTCAAAAAAAAAAAGAAAAAAAAAACACTAACTTTTCTCTGCATCATACAGTTGATACATTCCCGTTCCTCCTCCTTGGCCTCCCGCGTGCTGTTCTCCAACATCCTCGTCTCGTGTCGCGCCTCTGTGTGAACAGACACATATATAGTTGATATCAAGTCTGATGATGACGTCACACGTGTTAGTGTGGTGTGTGTGTGTAACTGACTGTTGGTGGCGAGTCTCGCGGACAGCTGCAGCAGGTCCCTGGCCTCGTGTCTGAGTCTCTTGAGCGAGGCGTCCAGCTCCCTCTTGATGTCGTCCCCGAGGTCCCTCTGTTGCTGCAGGAAGCCCCTCACGCCGGCCTCGTCCAGCGACACCAGTATGGAGTGCAGGTCGGGCGCGAGGTGTACGTGCGTCTCTCCCAACACACTCAGCTCCGCGACCGGAGTGGACGGCCGGGAGTCCAGCTCCACGATCCTGGAAACAGTCATAGTTATTGTAGTAAAGTGGGTAATTCGATATAACTTGTCCAAGATATATGTAATAGACAGTTTGTGCAGTACGATATCACTCGAAATATAGTGGTTCTCAAGAAAGCACGTCTATTTATTTCTCCCTATTGACGATAGTTTAGTTATCTGCCGGCTAGTATATCTAAGTGTTCCTTTTCGTTTATAGTATTCTAATTTAATAACCGCCGTCCCTGGCTCTCGTCCAAGTCCTATGCGCTTTGTAGTCGCGATATATTTCCTAGAAGGCGGGCGCCGTCCTCACACCCCCCCCCTCCCTCCCCCTGTGTCACTCACGTGTCGTCGTCCGCGGCCAGGTGTCCCAGCAGCTTGTTCAGCACGGTCCTGTTCAGTTCGTCCTCGGCGCTGGCGCAGTACGCGACCAGTGAGGACACAGCTCGCTGTAACACGCCCGCCACACGACGGAGACCATCCCTGTACATAATACATAACGATGACTCAGAACACTGTAAACTTTAAAATCATGAGCAGTTATATTTACAATTAATAGTAGTGAGATGGCAATTGGGCTGCACTCATATAAAGATAAAACGTTCTATGAAAGGTGATTTTTATAGAATAGTGAACCAGATAAATGACTTATTATATATCTAGCTTATATTATGTAAACAATGTTTTATCACTTCATATAATACTCAGCACACCCACCTCTCCCGGGTGACCTCCTCCAGCTGTCTGTTCTGATCAAAGCTGTTGTTCCTCCTCTGCCTCCATTTGTCTCCCTCTCCGCTGGACAGCTCGTCCCGGACACTCGATAACTGTGACACGGTCAACATCACTATCAAACACGCGATATCGATGTAACACATCACTTCATTCATCACACAAGCTTTGAGCTACTCGACCAATGATAAACGTTCGTTCAAAACATCACAACCAGTTTACAGAACTTAAATCACTATACAGCCAGCAATCCATTCTTAATTATTATTTTTTTCTAATAAGAAACTATATATTTTTACAATATTATTGTGTAAAAATTTGGAATAAAGGAAACAATTGTTTTATACCACGCATATTCGTATTTCCTTAGAATTAAAAAAATTTAAATCATTTATCGTTTTAGTAAAAAAAAATGTGACTTGTATGTCTCGTATTTTTTCTTCTTATATTTTGTACTAGTTTTTGCCCGCGACTTCGTCCGCGTTAGTTTCGTCATTAGTAATATATGTATAGCTGACCAGGCGAACTCTATTCCGTCTTAGAGGCCATAAATAATCAGGTTTTTCCTGTTTCAATCAAACAGAATGATTGACATATTAGTTAGTTGTCAAATCTAATGTCAAAAAAAACGTTTGTATGGGAAATAGAAAAGGGCTGTTTTTATGGTTTTCCCAGTAATGATTCAATTTTTCTCACCTTTTAAACCTTCCCTGAACCTCCACGAACATTTCAAGACTAAGATAAGATAAATCCGTTCAGTCGTTCTCGAGTTTTAGCGAGACCAAGGAACAGCAATCCATTTTTATATATATAGAAGAAGAAGATAATCATGTAATATATAGCTTAGATTTGGACCTTGTTTCATACGAATATATAAAAATAATAATATATTAAATATATACAAAAACAGTGGATTATTGGCTAGTTAAAGGAAGATAAAACTTTTCGAGTACTTTTGTTTGGTAACGTATAAACATTTAAAATGTTATTATATTTATCAACGTACAGACATACATACATATATGATGAGATACGTACCAAGAACCTTCTCAGCATAACCATGTTGAACTTTACATCTTGAATTATATTATTCTATTAAACAACTGTTTTCTATTGTCTTATTCAATGTTTATTTGATATTCGTAAAACACATTTCAAAACTTCACTGTTGAACAACGATCGACCGAAAACTACTATGTATAAAGATATTTGGTTCAAATGTTTCAGCAAACGTATTGTTAGAACTAATTTTGTAGCAGAAGCGGAATTCTCTGTTAGGTACAGTATGTCACTTGCGGTTAAATCGACTTTATAAATAACTGAGAAACAAATTTTCCTCTTACTTTTTAACCACTAACACCTATATATAAAGCGTCTGTTATATAGTAATAGTTTGAATTAAAAGGTACACTAGCGATGGCATGAAAAAACATGTGTGTACATTTCACAGCATTTATACAAATATTCTTAGATGTTGTTAGATGTACTTTTTTTCAATTTATTCATAAACGTATTGAGTGGTATATAATATCGATGTAAACGGAAGTTTAGCTCATGTACCGTAACGAAATAAGTAAGCAACGAAATAATTTCAAATGACTAATACATATTTCCTTGTCATCCTTCTTGTCATTGTATGAAAAAATCGCGTTTTACAAGTGAATATGATAAAAAAGTAAGAAATAGCTTTAGTAAGATACTAGTAATAAGTAAATTTCACTAATACTATGATGAAAATTAATATTACTAACTTTCGTTAATCACAAACAACCCTCTGATTCTCTCGTAGAATACATTTGAGATTCAATATTTATTTATGTATATACAATCAGTACTCACGTAAATATCTAAATGTGTTTTCTAAACGACAGCTAACTTGTTTTAACAAATATTATATATCACAATTCACATATAAAAACCGAACTTTCCTTACTCACTACACAAGCCGTCTCATTAGTGAGTGTTATTTAACAACTACCCTCACATACGATCTGTATGAGAACAAACTTAAAGAAACTTAAATTGAATAAATGTGAAGAGTAGCGGGACCTTAGTAAACAAACAAACAACACAGACACAGCTGTTAACTGAAATAGTTGAAACACGTCAACACGTGGCGCGTCTCACACGTACAACATACGACGATATTCATACAAGCGATTATAACTTTACTGTCAAAGGAATAAGACACATTATTGAGGTGTCTAAAGTCTGTGTGTCACGAACTGTCCCACTTGTGTTACTATGACAGTTTAATATGAACAGGGACACGGGATTCATCTCAGACTGACATACTGAATAAAAGTTGTCATACAACGAATCTTTGTCAGCGACACATTTAATGCATCTCAATGAAAGCACACAGAACACTGAACCGCTTCTAAATATGTACCAAATGTATTGTATTATAAATAATGTCAAAAGATAGTTGAGAGCGACGATGTATATACGACGGTACTGTAAACACACGCGCGGCTATAACGTTGAATATACAGATGCTGCTGGGGACGGACGGAGAGATATACGTTATTATATATATGTAAATGTAAATTATAATGATCACGTGTGTGTGTTTACTACGATGATAGTACAAGCCATTCATCCGAGGGAACAGACGGGGGATCAATACAAGCGGGAGGACTCGGGACGCTACGCGCGACGATAAACAGTTTACTAACAAATTATAAGTATCAACAATATGTATGAACATCCTAACACTACGTTTGCTATGTAAGATTATTATTATTGCACAGTTTTGCGATATTACTTTATAGACAATTTATAATGATGAGTGTCACAGTTTCTAATTGAACCCGCTCAGTACAAGTCATCGTCTGCGGTCACACATATTATTAGACATCACTTTAGCACCGACACAACATATCTCACTCCTTTTATATGTTCACTGTGAGTCTTTATGACGTTCTATATGTTAATAGTCGCGTGTTAGTGAAGGCTAGTAACACACACAGCACGTCCGTCTCTGCCGCCGGTCCGCGGTACACTGAGGGGATGCTGCAAGGAGCCGGTGTTTGTTCTATGTATCCGTTGTAAGTTACACTTGTTTTAACTTTTTCTAAACAGTTCTATTTCTGTATGGCGAGACGCGACTATCACTGTACGTGTACCATGTATTGTTTATTATAAGTCTATGTTATTTTTATGTATAACATTTAATAAAATACATTTACTACTTTTATAAATGTTCCGAGTTGTATGGAGATGCTTCAGCGGGTGTTTTTTCTCGTTATTATATGAAATAAACAATACATATGATACTTATAGTACAGTCAGTCAATTGATAAGACTAGTTTATTGAATGTATGTCGTATACTAGGAACACGAGTGTCTTAATAAGGATACAAGTTAAACCATAACGGTAACTCTGTCTTCGTGTACACATGACATATATTTGTTATTGTGTTTACACATCGCGACCGTGATAACGCATCTATGGGAACTGTTATCAGTGGATGTGATAAAGGTCAATGACCTCTGTGTATATTTAAGTGACATCTGCTATAATGTCTGTAATATTAATTAGAGTAAGGTCATGCCCTGTTGTAATTTTTATTCGTATCCTTAATTTAAACCCTCGTCCTTATTATTATATTAGTAGCGCGTGTCTGTATTCTTACTATTACTATTATTTATTTTCATTCAAGTTTATCATTCACGTATACTATATCGTAGGTATGCTTATAGTAGGGCGTATGAACAATGAAGACTTATGAATGAAATACTAGAAAACTATCTGTATGTTAGTTAGTTTTACCAGCTCGTAGTAAGGTAGCCGTTCTAACTAGTCACTAGCCTCACTAATTCCTGTCAGTATGTTTTGTACAATCTTTTTTTACAATTTTCTACTTTATCTGTGTGTCTGTGTGATGAAAGAATTCACTTGAAACGATATTTTTAAGAAAAAATGTGAGTTCCTGTAGCGTTTTCTAATTTCGTAATGTATGGAATTCGTTTGAAGCAAAATGGTTTCCACGATGCATGTTGTTAGTGTGTTATTTTACATATAACAGTGTATGGGAAGTAATTATATTACAATGATTAAATGTGAGTAGGTACATATTATTAAGCCCGAATTCTAAAGTTAATATAATTCTATAAGAAAAATCTCTTTATAATCACAGCTTAAATTCTAAAGCTTTCATTCTTAATACAAGTATATAGGAGATCCTACATGTTTTATATATTGAATCGACATTGTCCGTTACAGTTCAAACCGTCCTATTAAAGTCCTTTGTTATAATCAAGTGTGGAGTGGGTTCATTAATTTCTATACAGTGTACTCCCCTCAGTGTGTGTGTGACGTGGGGCTACTATGAAGTTATTGTTCGTGACAGAATCACGTGGCTGGTGAAGCACGTGCTGGAAGGATGAGGGTTACATACTACACTTATATGACGATACTCTAAGCATATGACGCATATCCGGTGTGACGTCATACTAATCAAATGTCTATGTAGAAAACATATAACATTTTAAAACGCTAACGAATCAGTACGGCTGAATTCCATGAAACGTGCGAACGTTAAGATCGTTTTATTCGCTGGGATGTTTATTCTGGTACAGGATGTAAGTGTCGTCAGTATGAAGATAACATTAAAAACATTGATGATTCCTTACAAATATTAAAATAGCTTTACGAACATCTAAATATATACAAATAAACAGTTCTATGACGTTAATAGTAATCTATTATTGTAGTAAGTTTCGTTTGTTGAGTCAGCGTCACGTGTACCTAAGTCTGTTCTAGATGAAGGCCAGTGTTTCACAACTCGTTGGCAGCCCGACCGTTCCTCATACGCCTCGAGGGTAAAAGCATTCGTTATCAGAGTACTAACATCAAAACGTTATTGCGATTAGTAGATCGTGTGCACGTTATAGAAACTAGGAAGTACACTCGAGTACGTAATAATAAAGATGAATAGAAATAATTAATACTGGCTCTTAGAATATTTCTTAGGATTCAATGGATTCACCGTGCATGTGTCGGGTCCATCGTTGTAGTGAGAGGAGCTTCAATAGTGACTGGGACTTGCGACCCAAGTGTATGTTTAAGGAGCCCCTATTTAACGCGCGTTAATCGCTCACCTCCACCGTCCTAGCTCTTATCTCTACCTAACCAAGTTTGAAACTAGAAGTCTGGAGGCTGACGCACAAATATCCTCGGGAATTTTGTATTGTTTCTCATATGTATCCATCATTATAGTCCAATCCGAAGCCGCTTTAAGGATAGAACAATAAATGGATATGTTTATTAAAGACGTACATATGATTTGTAAAGACAAATACGAGTACACGTGCCGTGTTGTACAGAAGTTGTTATACTATAACTGTATATAAAATAAGATTTTAAACAGTTACTTTCTTTACATAGGAAGGTTGCAGATTCGACTCCTGCTCGTGTCTATGCAATCCCTACTAATATTATAAATGCGAAAGTAACTCTGTCTGTTTGTCTGTCTGTTACGCTTTTACGCCTAAACCACTGAACTGATTATAATGAAATTTGGTACAGACATAGAGTTGACCTTGAGAAAGAACATACGATAGTTTTATCCCAGACTTTTGAAAGGTTCTCTTGGAAACTCGATATAACCGAACTCCACGCGGGCGAAGCTGCGGGCGGAAAGCTAGTATAATATAAATGACAACGATGTAACTACATATTATTAAAGGAGTTGTGCTCGACTGTACACACAAAACTAATCTAAATCGAATGAACCGTCTCAAGTGTTTCGCGGGTCATGTGCTGCAGCCATCTGGCCGAGGGCTACTACCTGGCACTCATTATAATATATATGCTAATTATGTTACACAATAATTTATTATTATTAACGACTATAGGTACACCGTACAGCTAATATTTACTCTACCTATATGTATGAATGCCACTGATTCTGATATGGAGAAGTGTTCAATAGAAACACGCAAATTATTTGCATAATGAGATCTAAGATTTTCGCGAGTACTCATTTAAATGAAATTAATAATAACGGCACTCATATCTCTTTTGGCCGTGATCACAGTTGCTGTAAAGTAACCGAAACATCGGGAGTATGTTGTTTATGGTCAAAAATAAAGAAATCCGAAAATATTAGGTCATTTAAATTATTTGCACTTAACAATACCCTCAACACGATCGAAATTTGGATTAAATTTATTTAAAATTCCCAACACATGTATAACATTATAATTGAATGTTTTTGAAGCGACATTTGATAGTTATTTGCTAGTAAATACGTGTATAATTAGAGTGTAGTTCATTGACCCCGGTCCTGGTACATTTCATTTGTTCCTTCATTATTCATTTCAAGATCTCACAGTAATTAGGTGATTTCAAGTTTATTGTTCGTTTGTATATAGAAAACATGAACATGACTGAGAATCAATATTTTTTTGTCCATCCGTCCCTTTTTTATGTCTTATTAAATTTTAAGAAACTATTATATGTATATAGTCTGATATAATATTTTATTAAATACTAGAAGACCTGGCGAACTTCGTATCGCCCTATAATCAAGAAATATCTATTACGTTTTTTTATTTATATTTTTGGAATTTACCTGTAAGCCATAAATCTGCGTGTTTTGAAGTGCGACAGAATGATTGACATATTAGTTAGTTGTCAAATGTAATGTCAAAAAAAAAACGTTTCTATGGGAAATAGAAAAGGGCTGTTTTTATGGTTTTCCAAGTAGTGAATCAATTTTTTTCAGCTTTTATACCTTCCCTGAACCTCCACGAACATTTCAAGACTAAGATAAGATAAATCCGTTCAGCTGTTCTCGAGTTTTAGCGAGACTAAGGAACAGCAATCCATTTTTATATATATAGAAGATAGAAGATCTATTGTAATATTTCAAATTAGTAGCTACTGAAAGTTATGTTTCATATTGCAGAAAGTGAAGAAAATATTTTAACAGGTTCTAGTACTGTCACGATAGCTCAGTGGTGAAACAAACTGTACCGCGATATTCCAGAGGTCGTAAATTCAAATCCTACTCATGTAAATGGAATTATTTTTATTTTTTATTTAAATTTAATTAAACTATTTTCCCGACATTAACTCCCAAACAACTGTAGCCAACTAGTGTTTCCACGAAACATTTCGTTTAACTGAACCGTAATTAAAGTCAACAATAAAACAATATAAAGACATCACTGACAAAAATAAACATCGACCAATATAAAAAGACGTAGACTCCACAAGACGATTCACTCACTTGAGGAGAATGCGAGGCTCCTATATGTATTGGCGTGTTCTATATTGAGCGCGTCTGTCTGTCCGTCTTAGTTATCTAATGACACCGTTTGATTGAATCTCGAGACTAATATTTTATCGCGTCTTCGTTTATAAAGAGACTCGTAAATATTTCGATTCGTTAAACAACTTGTAAACGTCTGTATGGATGTATTTTGTGTTCAATATTAAAAGTAAGAGATTGATGTTAGGAGATATTGGCCACTCATACATTAGAATATATGTGTGCGTGTGTGTGTGTGTCTGTCTGTGTGTGTGTGTGTGTCTGTGTGTAGGTGTATGTGTGTGTGTGTATGTCCCTCACCTCTCTGTCGTGATGGATCCTGTCCCTGAGCGCCACCAGCTCCAGCGGCCAGCTGGACAGCTCCGCGTCAGGGTCGGACAACAACACCTGCACCATCATCATCACTAGTTATAATATACATTACTATAATAACATACAACGAACTAGCACACATACATATGTATGTGTGTGTGTGTGTGTGTGTAACCAACCATCACTCACACATCAACAATGTTTATAAAGTTTAACGCACACAGATATCATTTTAATACTATTCCTATACTTTATAAATCTCCTATAAGCTCTATAATCACATATTAGAAGTTAAAATTATATTACTTTAGTAAACATCACACTACACAGTCAGATGTCAGTTTTCCGTACATAAACCTTTTGATACTTTCGTGTCAAAAGTTTTATGTATGAAATACTGTTAACTCTCCGTGTGCAGTGTGACGAGCACTTGGACTAAGCATATTACACAAAAAAGTTCAAATCTTATCGTATTGTTTTAAAAAATATGGATAACTTACAACAAGTTCCTTCATTATATATTAAACTTCACAGTATATAGTACATATAAACACCATATAACACATAGGGACATCGCTGCACAAAATAGTTGTTCACAGTTCAACTTACACTGATACAATACTTATATTTCTATATATAAAATGATGTTTTGACCCCACCCTTATCTCACTAATATTATACGTCTTACTATATTTTTATATATCATTTTCAACCTTATTTCCTACGAGTTAAGACCATGTTATTGTTTACGAAGCAGCTTCAACTGATTAAGGTCTCCTTATATAAAGTATTGTCTGAGTTTTTCACTAATGTGTTTATTTACATACATAATGTTCCGTGATTACCTAATGATTTATATTGGAAGAATAAGGACAAATAAACATGAATAATACGAACCAATTATACATAATTAAATCAACGTATATACAGTTAAAAATTAAACACATAATATATAATAGGTATATGTTTTTTTATATATTGCGTTTAACGATTATTTTCAATATTTCAACCATAGCACATAATTCTGATTTAATAGAAGAATTTTAACGTTACCATAATATAAAAGTAATTTTCTGATTAACATTTGAGTTACACTACCACAAGTTCTCAACATCACACTACATACGCCGCGTTTCCAGTATTACATTCATAGACCATAGGACATGATAGCAGTACCTTATGTCTATGAAGTATAAAATAAGAAACGCTTATTTTTGTGTATGTTACTAGGTTCTTCTTCTTCTACTACTTCTACCTGGCAATTTCCCAGCTTTAGCCAGGGTCTGCCTTACGTGTTGTGAATAGTTTCGGCTAATTGTTTTTACGACCGGCCGCCTGCCTGACATCAACCCTCTTTGGGAATGTATTAAAGTACATATAACTCGGGAAAAACACATTGGTACTTGCCAGGATCGAAACCGGGCACTCATGCATGAAAGGCTGGCCTTTTAACCACTAGGCCACCACGGTTAGGTTGTCACGATAATACACACTTGTAGTAAGGGTCGTACTTTAAGACGGCAAATAAACTTTACAAACCAAAGCAGTTGTTTCAAGTTTCAAAAACATAAAAGTGTAAAGTTACGATTGATATGTCAGTCAGTTAAAGTTTTACCAAGGTCGGGTCTTCCAAATTGGTCAATTTATTTGTAATGAACCGAAGTATCTAAAGTTGTTTCAGACGGCGTGGTCTGTAAGCGGGTCAGCCGCGCGAAAAATGTCACGACATATTGGAGACGAGCCAATTCCAAAATATAGAACATTTGATGATGAGTACATTCACACTAACACTCAATAGACAATAGATAAATAGACAGACACATAGATAGATAGATGAAAATTTAAATCTAGTATTAATAACAGTACATTACAAATGTCACTAGTATGTATTACGTTAAAGAACTAAAGGTGTAACTCACACGTGTGTGTTGTAGGTGGGAGAGGTTACGTTCCTTCATGCCTCATCACCGTATAATATGTATAAAGTCCAATAAACAACACTATAACACAATTTAATCCTCCACTATATGCACAGAATGACACGTTAAAGTCTTCAGTGTTGAAAGTATAGACAGGTATCAAGCGAGTGTGACCGATTGACACACGCTCGACTCTATACACGGTGGGCTTGTACGTAGCTTCTGTGGACATGTGGACACTACAACACCTCTCAGTACTGGCGACTGTCCAAACATAACGCGTGGCTACAGCACTAAGGACATTATCCCTACTAATATTATAAATGCGAAAGTAACTCTGTCTGTCTGTCTGTTACGCTTTCACGTCTAAACCACTGAATTTTAATGAAATTTGGTACAGATATAAAGTTGACCTTGAGAAAGAACATAGGATAGTTTTTATCCCAGACTTTTGAAAGTTTTCTTGGAAACGCGATATAACCGAACTCCATTCGGGCGAAGCTGCGGGCGGAAAGCTAATGATTCCACTAAGCATAGGATCAAATAATCAGTTGATGTTCATCATCAAACTCATTGATCGATGTTCCTACTAACACTAACTGACACTGACACTTTTCTACTGTATGTGATACAGGTATCAAAATAGATAACAGAGATTTTCGTAAGTACACTTCGAAATAAAACTAGTTTATAGATTCACCTTATGGAAATAAAATTTCTGTACGAACGCTTCATTTGGGAGTAAGTTGGTGAATGCGTGACGAAAGCGTTACGAAAATTGTGATCAGGCGAGACGTATTACTGTCAGCCCTGGGCCTTTTACATCGTCACCGGGAGAGTAAGCCGGTGCTGAGTCAAAATATAAAAGGGCCTGGGTCCCTGGGATATATATAAATTTACAAGACGAATAGTTACATTTATTTTTTATTAGGGTAAAATAAATCAGTTACAGGTGGTCAAGTTTTGATGAGGAAATATATTAGTGTGGACTTGTGATCACGACCCGTGACCTGGATACAGTTGGCAGCGGAGAAGGTTTCCGGGTGACGAGTGATGAACGTACAGACACACGTACAGTACAGTACCTTACCATGAGGTTTGACTATTAAACTAAATACCTACAGTCTTGCCTCCATAGAAGCTATGACATGAAAGTATTAACTTAAAGCTCTCATACTTAATCAAACGATAGGAACTTGGGGTAAAAAAAAATTCATACAAGTCGATATTGTGTGATCCGACTATGTACAAAAGATTTTATGATCTGTTTTTCATATATCAGAAATCCAATTCATTTTAATATAATCATATAATCAAAATGCCATCACTTCAACTATTTCAATAACATATATTTCCTGAGCCGGGTCAGCTATAACAATCTGCTAGTCCAGCTCGAGCTGTAAATATAATTCAATTCACTAACGTTACTAATATCACCGCGTCTATTTAAAAACTATTTCTTTTCATAAAGTACAAGGTCGTGACCCCGATTCAACCGAAATAAGGTCAGACGCTTCTTCGGTACTAACAAAACAAATCATAAAATATATATCGTTTATGAATATTGAATATTATCGTACGTATCATAATGTTTACATTGAAAATCAGTTCCAATGAGATTTATGACGACGATTTTTAAATAAAGACGAGCTTCTGTCCGCGTTTCCGATATTCTTTTGTGAGTGAAATGTATCATCTTCTATACAGGGTGACTGGTGAATTACTATCAATATTTAAGAAGAATACTCGGTACATGATTCTCATTCGAATTATGTAAAAAAAATAGGTACTTAATTTTTGACCAAATTTCCGTATAAATAAATAAAGTGTGGACACGTTCCAAGTGTTCCAAGTGTGGACGCGTGCGCCGGCGTGCTGATACAACACCACGCCGCGCACGCGTGTGTGTGTGTGTGTATACCTAATATGTAGGGTGTTCACACGATGCGTAATTAATTACATAACTTTTGGTTAACTTTACTCAGAAGTTTATTAATATTTATGTTATATTAATTTTTATTTTGTTAGTCAGTGGTGGCTCAGTGGTTAAAGGGCCCGCCTCTCGTCGCCGAGGGCGCGGGTTCGATCCTGGCCCGGGCAAGTAACAATGTGATTTTTCCGAACCATATGTACTTTCTAAGAGTATTTAGACATCACTGATTAATGTTGATTCCCAAAAAAGGGTTGATGTCAGGCAAGCGGCCGGTCGTAAAAACAATTAGCCAAAAACTTTTCACAACATGTAAGGCAGACCCTGGCTTAAGCTGGGAAATTGCCAGGTAGAAGAAGATTAATTTTTATTTTATCATATATGATCGTCAAATATCACGTCCTCAAATATCGATAGTAATTCACCAGTCACCCTGTATATATAAAAATGGATTGCTGTTCCTTAGTCTCGCTAAAACTCGAGAACGGCTGAACCGATTTGGCTAATTTTAGTCTTGAAATACTCCTGGAAGTCCAGGGAAGTTTTAAAAGGTGAGAAAAATTGGAATAATTGCCGGGAAAACCCTAAAAACAGCTCTTTTCTATTTCCCATACAAACGTTTTTTTTGACATTAGATTTAACAACTAACTAATATGTCAATCATTCTGTTTGATTGAAACAGGCAAAACCTGATTATTTATAGCCTCTAAGACGGAATAGAGTTCGCCTGGTCAGCTATACCTACATATATTACTCTTGACCAAACTAACGCGGACGAAGTCGCGGGGAAAAACTAGTGTGGAATAAAATTAAATTGAAAAGTGGACGATAATATTAAGTTTGTATGAAGATATTAAATCAGTTCATATAATATGTGTTATAATTGTATACTGAGTCTGGCCATATATTCTGCTACAATAAAAAGTAAACAAAATATTACTTTTGAATTTGGAATCTGTCACTCTTAAAAGATTGCACGTTGTTTTCTTATTTTCGCGTCAATATATTGTAAAATGTGCAGTGATAACGAAAACCGAACCGCGGTGACTACATTGCATAAAGTGGGTATAAAGTTAACCACAACTTTAAAAATACTACATCCACGTAGTATCAATAACTTTTTTCTTTACATGACTATTGAAAGGCACAATAAAACTCCTCTGTTTGTGACAGATGACCATCTGATCACATAGGGTTTATATCAAAGAGGCGATTGAAAAAGTCGACTGAAAACAACATTCGAAAAATTCCTCTCTGTAGGTAACGACAAGAATAATATATGACTTAGGATGTACGGCTAAACATGAGACGGACTAATCATTAACAAACTGATAGCTTAAACGAGAATAGAGTGGTACAATCAATATGTATACTGAAAAAATTCAAAGGGAGATACGGAAAACGTTGTTTAAATATGAAAAGATTTTTACAATTACATGACTTTATTGATGCTGGAACATCTAAACATCTCTGTAGAGTCAATGGAGTACAACGTGAGTATTACCCAACTTCAGTGATTTTGTAAGCTACGACGGAATGACTGAGACAGCTTGGCGAAAACGATATCAAACATTATCATAAAATTATCAATATACTAATTGCTGTCTAGTCCTAGTCTTAATACCCTGGATAAATATTTATGATCAGTTTTAGAGTACGGCTGACTTTAAACTCGCTAATAATTTGGACTAACGAACAATTCGATTGGTTATGAAAAATTTTCCCATGCAAAATGTATGCTGGTGACTGGAGAATGTTTTAAGCCAATCCTAAACGCTTGGTATAATCTTCGTGTATTTGTAATAGTTTTATATTAACAGATATTATTAACACCATTTTCTTCATGTATTATATCGTGTGTATATTATTTATCTCCCGCACGTGTTAGTTGATGCTGTGAAATAACGAAGGAGCCCTTTTCCCTGCTGGCCATATTAACATGTCTTTATATACAGTACCATTATAAAACCATCATGATATAAATGTGTGTGTGAGGGTTGGTGTCTATATACATATTTACAACATTTGTATATGTTTCATGTGTTCTGTTATATAATATGATAAGAATACTTATGTCATAATCCCACGGCCTCTTAGAATCAGTCAAGGCATTAACATCAGGTAAGGTGTGTACATTATATGTTGTTAGTTCTGTGGTGTATGTCTTGTCAGTTGTGTAGTGTGCCTCGTGAATAGTGTGGTGTGTCTCATGAGTTGTGTGGTGTGTCTCGTGAATAGGGAATGCAATCTCGATCGAGATCTCGCGAGATCTCGACTAATTTTTCGAGATTAATCTCGAAGCATAAAACGACGAAACCTCGGCCGAGATTGACGAGATTGAATGGCGGCAGTCAGGGACGCAATTTTAGTTATTTCCAAAACCATTCATAAGACTTGTTTCTTTTATATTTATTATTTTTGTACTCTAACATAGATTCAGCTTAAGTCAACGGATAAGTAGTTACTGTAACAGTTTACTACATTTATGATCCATGCTCTTAAATGAAAAATAAGAACAGTTTACTGCGCAATAAAGAGTCTTTTTGTTGTTAAAATTATTTACCATGATATTGTTAATTTTTATATCTTTGTAAACCAAAGACTGGTAATTTTAATTTCTAAAACTTAATTGTGATTCGTATGTTCATAAATGGCGTTATTATTATTAATAGTAAATATTACTAAATAAGTGAGGGTCTTATTTTCCAATTCGTTCTGTATCTTACTCTCGTAATAAAGAAAACTAAGCTGTTTTCTTTGCGTTTTACTTACTTAAGAAAAACGATATTTTTTAAAATTTCAGCCGAGATCTCGAAAGATTGCTTTTCTAATCTCACGAGATCTCGAATTTGCGATCTCGCCTCGAGATTGCATTCCCTACTCGTGAATAGTGTGGTCCATCTTATGAGTTAAGTGATATGTCTCGTCTGTTGTGTGATATGTCTCGTGGGTTGTGTAATATGTTTTATGTTATGTGTATAGTGTGGACGAACCTGCAGCTGTAGTTGCATGTCGTGCAGCACTCGGTCGCGGGCACGCTGCGGTAGGCCGGTTAGTGAGCGAGCGGACACAGGACATGCGGCCGTTAGAGAGGGCGGGAGACACACCGGTTTAGTAAGGACATATACATACCGTGGATAGAATAGATTAGAGTTCTTATATAACATGAGTAAACTAGGCAAGGGAAACACGCTGTTCGAAAGTTATAATTCATTAGATAATTTACGTCCATACACATAAACAAAGAATAATGAGATAAAATGTTTTATAAAATTTTACTTTATACTTTCAGAGTTCTACTTCTGGTAAAACATTAAATATTAAAAAAACTACGTGAGATCTTTAATATTGATTTGATTATATAAAAACTCGTATAAGAAGTGTCATATATAACAGACAGCGGACAGAGTATAGATGCATGTAAGGGTCCACCACACTTATAACATACAGATGTCTCACTCACCTTCTCCAGCTCCAAGTCTATGTCCTGTTGGTACACAGACACGTTAGCCTCTGTGTTTTCACTAGTCTGTATGTGTGCTTTTAGTTCTGATATCTGAAAATAAATAGTCTTATATTATATCTTTAAATGAGCAATTCTTGTTTATATACAATAGGAATCGGCTCCAACGATTTTCATGAAATTTAATGTATAGGTGGTTTCGGGGGCGATAAATCGATCTAGCAAGGAATAATTTTTAGAAAATGTCCTTTTAAGCAAAAAAATTAATAACAAAAAGAGGCGTTTAAAATATGACTCTTCCTGACATCTATTGGCGAATAATATAACTACTTTTTGCTAATTGCTTTTACTAAGAATTGCTTCTTCTGACTAAGAAGTTAATTGTTGATTTATATTAAAAATGCCTAAACTAAAATAAAAAAAAAACACACAAAATAAATACTAATAATTTCTAAATACCGAGCAAAGCTGGGTGGTGTCCAAATATTTCTGTTTAAAACATTCAAGAAACATTTCACACAAATATTTCGTACAATTTATCAGCGATTACGTTAGGAACATAATCTTTTGGGATATATTTTAATAGTTAATAAACAAGAAGTATGTAGTTAATATGTAGTTGATATTAATATCAGGCAGACCCTGGCTAAAGTTAGAACGTTGCCAGGAAGAAGAAAAAGAATATTAATCTACTTACAATATTGTAAAAATAAATAGATATTTATATCAACGAAATTATAGAATACTTTATACAGGGTGACTGGTGAATTACTATCAATATTTAAGGAGAATACTCGGTACATGATTCTCATTCGAATTATGTAAAAAAAATAGGTACTTAATTTTTGACCAAATTTCCGTATAAATAAATAAAGTGTGGACACGTTCCAAGTGTTCCAAGTGTGGACGCGTGCGGCGGCGTGCTGATACAACAACACGCCGCCGCGCGCGAGTGTGTGTGTGTCTGTATACCTAATCTGTAGGGTGTTCATACGATGCGTAATTAATTACATAACTTTTGGTTAACTTTACTTAGAAGTTTATTAATATTTATGTTATATTAATTTTTATTTTGTCATATATGATCGTCAAATATCACGTCCTCAAATATCGATAGTAATTCACCAGTCACCCTGTATATATATATATATGTGTGTGTGTGTGTGTGTGTTTGTGTCATATACCTGTTGTTCCAGGTCCGTCACCTTCTCCGTGTGTGTGTGTGTCAGTCTCCTCACATGTTCCAGGTGCTCCGTCCTCTCCTCAACCAGCCGCTGCTCCAACTTCTTGTTGATCTGTCTCAGGGTGCCCTCTAGAGGCGTCGATGTCTGACGAAAAAAATATATTTTTCGTTGTTTAATGTAGATCTATGAACATACTAATAGCCTATTCAGTTGTGAAGATAATGCGTTGCAGGAATTATATCATATATGTCTTTTCTTTGTAATAATACTCGACATTTCTCGGTCTAGTTGTTGGGATATAACATAATATATATTTTGACATAAAAACATTTTTTGTTCTATGAAGTGTTATTTACATTTTATTTTATATATTAAAAGTATCAATCTAACTTAACCTCCATAAGTAGTGAGGGTAGGTCGGCCGAGCGCGTCCTCCTGCGTGCGTCGCCCGCTCCCGTTTCCGCCTCCGCCTCCGCTCCCTCCGACACTGGGGACACACACGCCCGACCACGCATCACCTCCTCGGAATAACTGGCAGAGTGGACATGTACACAGAATAAACACGATATAATAACTTTATGACCGATTTACTAAATGCTGCACAATATACTAAAAGCTACAATATACTCTACATAATATTATTGTCTACTCACCTTATCAGCCTGAGTAGCAAAATCAAAAGAAATGTACGTCACATGTTAGTACAAGAATAACACATATAATATATCTCATCGTGCGTGAGTGTGTCACCTTCGTTCCATGTCCAGGCACTTCTTCTCGAAGTACGTCCTCAGGTTCTCCATCTCCCGCCTGTGCTTGTGGTCCAGCTCCTCCCTGAGCCGCTCCAGGTCCCCGCCGCCCGTCCTCACGTCAGCCAGCAGCTCCCTGAGTCTCCTCACGTCTCCGGTCCGCGCGTGTTTCTCCTGAGCCAGCTGCGCCTCCAGCTCCCTCACGTCTGTGTCGAAGTCTATCCGTATCCTGGCGACCTCATCACACACCACTTGTATCAGACTCCCTCTCAACTCGTTCCTCGTGTGTTCGTCTATCCGCTCGTGGTACGTGTCGAGGAGCGCCGTCACCTTCCCGTGCAGTCCGTCCCGTCCGTCCCCGGAGCAGGAGGAGCGCAGGTCGGACCTGGAGTAGTTGACGGTGATCTCCTCCTTGTCGTTGTCCTTCTCCCCGTTGGAGCTCCGCCGCGAGCTGGGGCCGCTGTCGAGCGCGGAGTAGTACTTGGTGTCGTCTCTCAGCAGGCCCTGGTACTTGATGTAGTCGGACAGCTGGGCCGAGTGCGAGCGGTCCGCGGCCAGTCGCCGCAGGTGTTCGTTGTCGTGTCGCAGGTCGTCTCTCTCGCGCACGGAGCGCTGCAACGAGACCGTTAGTTCCTCTATTAGTTGGTCGCGCCTCGACATCGCCTCCTCCAAGTGAACCAGCTGAAAGCACATGAAGCATCATCAAACATCCGCACAGCGAGCTCTAATTATTCATGTACTGAGGAAACTTGCATCATATAACGTAAACATTAGTGACACTCGGATTTTGACGCGAACCAAGCACGATTATTTGAGTTTCTGTAATTCCTGTATCCTAGGATACTTTTATATATTGTGTATAAACATTGTCATTAAAGTGGCATGTTATATTTTTTTATGATAAGGCACGAGTTCAATGTTCGTGAGAAAAAATAACGTATTCAATTATGAAGTATTTGCTGACAAATTAAAAAAAACCTTAAGTGAAAATTTATACACAATAAAATATTAAAGGCCAAAACATAATTTGATTAAATAAAATCGTTGATTAAAAACTTTTTTTTAAATTATTTCTGAATTTCATATACTCGTAGTTTTAGCATTTTAAATTTCGGAACTCATTACAATGAAGACCTCAAATGTAGATAATATTTTAATATTTTTTTATTTTATGCTTATGTTAATAGAAAAACAAAGAGTGTGCACACAAAAGACAGTAATGTAAAATGTAAACAATAAATACAATATGTTAACAAGGAATGGTAACAACCTTGAATTGATACTCCTCACACAGCGTTTTGTACTCGGTGCTCATAGTGTTTAAAGAAGTCTCATCTGGATTCAATGACTTTGTCGGAGACACATTGTCTGGGCCCACTTCCTTCTGGTCATGTTCCACTATCAATTCTTCGAGCAGAACATCCTGTTCCTTATCGCTGGAGCTGACCGTGAGTGACTGTGACTTGTCGGGAGTGTCTTTGCCCTCAAATACTTCTTCAATGGTGACTCCCTCGCTCGGTCCCACAAGACAGGGAGACAGTAATGTTTGAAACACTGGTATCTGGTCTAAATGTGGACTCATCATGGTACTTCCATCGGGCGGCGGACCAAATATAATTTTTGTTGACTGAACTGGAAATTTTGGAGCAGCTTGACCTCTTATATCTAACTTTATTATCTCTTCTGAACCAGAGCTGCACTGTCCAAGAGATTCTGCATCTTTTTCAGATGAAAAAGTTGTCTTAGCATCAATACTGCCCTCGTTGTTATTTGATTTGTGACTTTTGGTATCATTGAGTGAGTCAAGATACTCACTATTTGAGGATTGTTCGGGAGATTTTTCCCCGTCATCTTTGTGTTCCTTACTTTTTAAAACTTCCTTAGATGTATCAGATGATAGAGCAAGTATAACCGGACTTTCTTCACTAATGTGTATATCTGATCGGTTAACATCAATGTTCCAGGAGCTGTGCTGGCTTGCATCTTGGGGAACATTTAAAGAACTATTTTTTGAAGCTATTTCATTATTACTAGTAACTATAAGTAAGTCTCCTGCATTTGGCTCTATATGTTCTGATTCTGAGTTAGAATAATCAATATTGAAAGGAATATTTTCTGATATGGATTCTATTCCACTATTTTCCTCAGTTTCTTTCTCAAGTTCTTGAACTTTCTCATGTGTATGGTGACTCGTATCCGTTGTGGAATTAGTAGCATCGTCTCCTACGGCGTCTCGTGTGGTTAACTGTTGTGAATTCACAACATCCGGAAGAACGTTCTAAAAATATACAAAATTCAGAAATAAATGACGATTTCAGATATACTTGAAGTGAAAGTTATTACAAGTTAAGTATTAGTGATCACTCATTCATTTATTTAAAGATTTGACCTGGGCTTATTATGTAATTTAAATATTTTCTTTTGCAATACACCAGTCTACCTCCCAGTTTAAAAATATCCTTACTGAAATTTATAAACGTATCTGGGACTCTACGTACTACACAATCGTACCTTTATTTCCGCAGGTTCTGACAGTTCTTTGGAAGTTTCATCCATTATTTGAGAAATTCATATTATTTTCGAGAGTCTAATTCATATAAATTCAAAAGTCAGTAATCCTGTCGTCAAGACGACGTTTTTTCAAACATAATACAACAGATCAACACAAGCGCCACCGCCATTTAGAAAACAAAACGTTCCGTTCCAACGATTTTCTTTTTAATTCACTGAGACTTAATTCTGCATGACTGATATATATTTTGTTATTTAATCTCTAATTTATTAAGAATCAAGTTCAATTTACACACAAAAGTTATGCAGCTTCATTATGATACATGTTAAACCAAGCTAAAACATTCAGTACGTGTTACCACTAAGCGTAAAACGAGAACGACTTGAAAAGAAAGTGAAAAGCTAGGGAAATAATTTCGCGCCTTATTTTTACCATTCAAACTGTATTTAACTTCACTTTGAGTTGGTAATTTTTTACTTATACTTTTTGATTGATTGTTTTTCTCTTGTTTTTAGTTACAATGAAAGGAGCTCTTCGTGAAGTTGCCTTAGAGATTTTGCAAACAACACGATCTGGTAATATCTTTTGTCTTTTGTTATGTTTCTACGTAAATACAGTCGATCACCAAGAGACTACAATATTAAGTCGGAATGAAAATTAAATATAAAAGTATTCATATACAACAGGACTTGGATATTATCTAATATGTACAAACTTAGTATAAAGAAGAAGGTAAAGAATAAAGATTAACCGATATATTTAAAAAGTCCAAAATAGTGACGTATAGGTAAATAAGCAAAACAATTCTTTATTTAAAATTTTATTGCTACATATAGGTATTTACAAATGTGGATCATTTGCAAAAGCAATTTTATTATATTTTTATTAAAATGATACCATAGAAATGAAAATAAATACGTAAGTAAAACACAAGGTGCATTAGTTGTTAATGTATACCAGCTATGGTAAAATAAAACTGCTTTGCACGTTCACATAAAATATTAAAATGGTTTTTCTGCCATTGTTAAAGTTAACCAATCAGCTTGTGTAAGTTACTATGAAAAATGAGTCACTCATATAATTTTTACTACATGAATGAGCACTTGCAGGCATTACTTGGTATGATATTAACACTTTGTTGTGCGTTATTAACCAGATAACTAATTGACATTTCTGTTTAAAAATTTTGTGACCAGAAATCAATCCATGCTTACAAACTATTACTGTATAGAATCAATGACTATATATATATCAAGCTTTTATTGATTTCCATATTTAACTTCTTCCGTTACTTATAGTAATTTAGGTCTCTCATCGCCTTAAAGGACCTACAACACTTCGTATCAAAAATAATTAATACCTATAGCAATCTAAATTAAGAATTACAAATAATTTAGGACTAGTTACAAAGTACACTTTCAAATTATTTATCACTACTTATCATAAAAATATGGAAGATAATGTTTTCTGTAACACACAATTAGATAGCATCCATTAATGGGTATGACATACTGAATGAGACTTGTACATTACAACATGGTAAGCATGGCCATATATTCAATACAATCTTTAATATATAAATATTAATAATGAAAGGGAACAAACATTATGAGTACCACATTATTAAAAATTCTCTGAACAATAACTATAATATAATCTCAACTGACTTTTATAATAATTATTATTTATGTAAGCAAATTGTTAAGCTCAATCACAAAAAGCAAAGTTGATTACTTTTCACTAGAACACAATAACTGTAATAAAAATGTTATTATATTATATTATTGCCTTCTATTAACATATCTATATACATTAACAAAAGTATGGTTTAGATCTTACATATTGTTTAAGCACAATTAAACCAACATATGATATTGCATCACAGCTAAAAGTTGACACATGACTCATTGAAACATTCATCATCTGAGATGAGAACAGATGTTTTATATAAATTTTAATGCACTCTATTATCTGATACTTTTTCAACATTTCAATGAAATATGCAGTTTAATTGTGCAAATAAAGTCGTTACATCAATATTTCATTTGATTTAAGGTAACACACAAGAATACATAATTTAAATTAATTAATTGTTTTTCATCCATGCCGACATTTTTAAACATGTAATTGGTTTTACAATAATATTAAAATAAAGTGATGACAAAGAAATAAGTTAATTACAATTTATAAAGGTTGTGGATAAGAAACAATGGTATTATATTCATCTCACATTGATCAACTACCCTCAAGGTTAAACAATAAAATATCACATCATAAATTAACAAAAATATATTTGTATACATTTATGATGATAATCTTATTAATATGAACACAGAAAACCATAAGTCAGCTCAAAATTAAAATAGATTTGGCTCATATGTATGTAAACAGATTTTATCCTTCAATGTTAGTTTAATAAATATAATCACATTAATTTTATGTAGCTTTTGCCATTTTCCTGATTTCATATTATGTTTACGAATGATTATTCTAATAAATTGTAAGTCTTCGTAAATGTATATAAACATAGCAAGCACTTTTGATTTAACAGCCGTACAGGAACACATCGCCTATGGCATGAATTAACAACTTGTTCCAACATATTGTCTGCTAAGCTGGCACTTGATAAGAGCCCTGGAAATTAATACAAACAGGCAATTTTATCATGATTTATACCATAGTGGTTAGTATGTATAATAAATAAGTTCAACCATATAGTAAAATGGTCCAAATATAATTCACAAACATTGGAACAGTTAACAGGAAATCTGAAAATTAAACCTAACTAAGAATGGAAACTCACATGATGATTGCTACTCATTAACTTTATTTGTATGTTGTTAATGATAGAAAGGTGTCAAATATGTATTACTTCAATGTTCAATTGTGTGTATGATACATGTAGAGTTTTCTTTTCACCCTGAACACTACATACCAGCTGGAACATTTAGCAAATAATATGTAATGTTGTGAGTCAGGTGTTTGAAGCTTGGGTCTTGTCATCCTCATCCTCTTCCTCCTGAGCCATGAGCTGGCGTGCCAGTTGGAGAGCCTGGAAAAATATGTATAAAAATAAATTATTCTAAAGTTATATGACATGTTTTAAAAGAAGAGTAATGCATATTGTATTTTTTGATCAATTTTAATAAATGTTATCTCTAGTCCTATTAAGTTATATGTTTGGTTTTTTATAGTAAGTGTTCAATAATGATAACACTAAAGCATTCCATAACAACATGATAAATTATATGTTTTCCTTATCTACAAATAATGTCATTTGATAATGAAAACATATTTCTAATGAAACTATTACTTATAAACTATGCGATCGACAAATTTGCCAAACCTGAAATTCGTTGTAATGCATTTTCCTCTTCTTTTCAAACTCAAGTCTCTTTTGACGCGCCTCTTCAGTCTCTTCTTCATCCTCACTTCCACAGCTTTCGACACATTTGGGTGGTTTATTCATACTCGCAGCCAATTTCGCTGCCAGAATGTTCGCGTCCAGTTCGTCGTTTGTCTCTAAGTCACTATCGATGGCTTCCGAGTAAGGCGTTTTTGGTTCATCGACTTTCATATGCCCATAATCCTTGTTAGGAGGGTGAAAGGTTTCCATTATATTCATTTCATCAAACCTCTGTTCTTTCTGCCGCTTACTGGTCGAAGGCGCCCCATCTTGGTTGTCAACACTGCGAGATGACTTTAATATTCCCTTAGAGGGCTTCTTTTGTAAATTTTGGGCCATTTTATAATTTGATTATAACATTTTACAGCTTGGCACACAAATAAAAAAAAACACTAAAATTCTCTTAAAAATACAATCCAATGACAAACCAATACGGTCCCAGTAGAATCATTCGTTTAAGATTACAGACATATGTCAATTGTCACTTTTAGCAACAGTTTGTAAGTAGTTAAAGTAATGCAAAAACAATATTTTTGCCTTTAAAAACTCGATATTACTGTTTTTAGTATTTTGATTTATTTAAAAATATATATGTTTTATCAATGTAAGAATAGAAAGAAAAAACAAACACAAGTGCCACAGTTGTATCATTTGATATCTGTTTTAAGTTGACAAAAGAGCTATATTATACCTATAACCTACTTTTCATAGTTGACAACTATCTTTGACAGTTGACACATTATGAGTAATAAAACTAAGTATTGTTTTTATTTTTTAGTTTTTTTTTAACTACTAATTTATACAAAGTATTATTTAAGCCCTATCAAAATCAAGACGATATCCACAATATTAGATTTAAAATGGTTGAGGAGTCCAATTCAACTTTAAACAAATCCAAGGCAGGTTATTATTATTTTGGTAGAACGTTTTCAACGCCACATAATCAAAAAGAAAATTAATACAAATACATAATCTGATTAATAGGATTATACCTTTACACTGAAATTTTTATGTTGTTATTGTTCCTTTTCTATAATTAATTAATAATTTTTAGACCAAAACAACACGTCCAAAAGCAGTATACTTGTGGTCAGAAGCAGATGTTCAGAAATGGTTACGACGACATTGCAGTGACTATTACAATATGTATTGGGAGAGATTTCATGAGGTAAGTATATCGATATTCGCAAGTCCTTATACTTTTATTGTGTTGTGAAAATAATACTACTTATATTGATATCCCATCTTTATATTGTAGCACGACATCACAGGCAGGGCTTTAGTTCGAATAAACGATAACACATTACTAAGAATGGGAATCATAAATAAGGAGCATCGGGAGGCTATCTGGCGGGAAATATTAAAGTTGAGGCTTAAGACTGATATTGTAGAAATAAGAGATTTGGAACGAAGACATTACTACTTCAACTATGATTTGTGACAAAAGGATTCATAAGTCTTCGGACTTTAAAAGACCTTATTGTGGTCTCAAAATGGGCTTATGATCAATAATTGTGATATTACATTAGTCTAGAATATAATTTTAATATGTATTTCAATCCATGATGTTTATGACGATGGCTTGTTGTTTATTTATCTAAGTGTAGCTATCTTTAGGCTATTACTTTATAATACCATTTATTTAATACTTAATAAAAATTATAAACCTTTTTTATTTTATTTTTATATAAATATTACTAGCAGACACATATAACCCGGCAAACACTGTTTGGTTATATAAATTGTTTATAGGAAATGTTTAGTCTAGAAAAAAATCTTAATATTCTGAGTGTGTAAGAATTTGGTTAATGAATAAAACATGTATAGAATGCTGTGAATGATGAAGGGGTATAAAAATAATAAAACACCAAATGACTTATTCCTCAAAATTATACATATCATTAATTAATAACCACCGTTACACCACCAAATAATGCAAAACTCTTTATGCTATAATGGGAACAATAATTTTTGTTTATCTATATTTAGCTAACACAAACAAACTGGTTTACCCAGTCGAGTCCATAACACATATAATTGGCCTTATGGAAAAATATGAAATCCTCAAATGCAAAAGAAATAATCTGGAAATTGAGCTTTTAGAGTGAAAACAAAAAAAATCATAAAATATTCACAGAAAAAGGTGACTTTGTTTTAATTAGTTCTTTCTCTGGGATAACTTATCAAGTGATTCATACTTTAGTATATATCTATATATAATAATAATATATATACATATAACTGATCAAATTACTTATGAAGTGAAAATTGATCAGATTTCGCGCTAATTGCTAAAATGACTAAATTAGAGATTGGTGATAAAATCGTGAACATTTGTGATTCGAATGTAGTTTTTTATGCCTTATTATAACGAAATAAAACAAAAATAAAATGTTCAAAAATTTAAAATGAAGTATTAGGTTGACAACCCTTACCTATCACTTAGGGATATGAAAAAAAGTTTAATAAAATTTCAAAAAAGTCGGTCTAACCGTTTGAGATACCTAACAATATTGTACATTACCAACAAAATGGTTTGTTAATACGGTTTATTGTCTCTTAAACTAAAGTAATTTTTGAAATATGACCTTGTAAATTGGTAAACTTCTAATTAAAATGTCAGACATACTTACATAACTTTATTACTACACATACCTAAATAGTTGATATGGATAAAGAAAAACAAAACATTACTTTAGGATTTGATCATTATTACATATAACTTCTAAAGTATATTAACACTTATAAGTATAATCTTAAAATTACACAATGCCATAAGTTTCCTTAATTATTTCTGTGTATTTAGTACTTTATAAGTTTATAACGGATTGTCCACTAATGCTGTTCTTAAAGTCTAAAAGTATTAACTGTTTATTCCTGATGTAATGTCACTAATAGGGCTTCTTGAAGTCTGTCCTTAAATAGCATAATTTTTCCAATAATATGCTTATGAAGTCTAGAAGCGAAGGGTTCTTGGTCATAACTGAAGCATCTTTAGTCGTGAATGGTGCTTGTTTAATATTTGAAGTAACAAACAGTTTCATACAAAGAGGTAAGAGCTAACATGTCGACGTTTGAGAAATTCTTTGTATCGGTATTTAAAGTGAATAATGAGTTGTTGATAACAGTCGTACTCATCTGTCGTTACTTTTGTTCTGCGTTATAAAATTAAAAATACATGGCATGCATTGATCTCTTAGTCGTGCCAGTTCGTACGCGGCTCAACTGAACGGCTTTGAGCGAAATAAAATTCGTTTTTTTATGTTTATTATTTTGTTATATAAAACTAAATGTTTTACTTCGACGAGGCTTCTGTATTATTGTCAACATCCGTCATTTTTTATCATTATCTCATCATCTAAACTAATATAATATGGGGATTCCGTTAAGCATCATAGAGACCTATTGGATTGCAAAGCTAGGGTGACACAAAGTAAAAATGTTTGAAAATGTCTACCGTTTCATTGGGGACAGGCTACAGATTTTCAAAAGAGTACAAAATACTGAAAGTTTTCTATGGGGAAGTTAAATAAATCTAACATGATGTCCCATTAAATACAATATAATAATGATCTCTCATTCAATGTAAAAAAAAATCGTCATTCAATGTAAAAAATTCGTCAAGTATTTCAATACTTGAGCACGTCAAAGACATTATACGGTGTATATTTAACATTCATCTTTATTACCCAGAGGTGCGGTCTCATAATCCGACGATACTATGGAGGCACTCACGAAATCTGACAATAATTATGTCTTTATTTATGAAATCATTAAAATGTTTAATTTCAAAGCTCAGAGAAAAGCAGGCAAATTCAGATAATATAAAAAATTGAAGTATAGTATTTGTATGTAGGTATAAAGATTTTAAAAAAGAGAAGAAGAAGAAAGAAATTCCCCTCGAAAATTCAAAATGTTGTTCGGGATTTTTTAGGACCCAGTTTGTTTGAACGATATTCTAAAATAATTAAACATTTTTGTAATGTTGATAATGTGAACTTAAGAGTTTCTTACAAAGTAATAAATAATTATATAAAACAACATCTTCATAACTTACTTATATTGAAATAATCAGAAAAAATGTTGAAAATACATTAGGTATTAGTAAAACCCAAAAGTTTTCTAAATCCTGATTTTGTTACCTTTTCTTGTGAAAATTGTTAGATTGCGTATGAGACGAAATTTTTCAGCATTCCACTGATTCACCATGCAGGCTCCAGGTCCATTGTTGCGGGGAGAGGAGCTTCAACAGTGCCTAGGACTTACGACCCAAGTGTAGGTTTAAGGGGACCCTATCTCACGCGCGTTAAACGCTCACCTTCAACGTCCAGCTCTTCTCTCTACCTAACATTGTTTGAAAGGAACTAATACTAGGGCTGTCTTTGAAGTACGTTTCAAGAATGATTGTTGTTAGTTCTGGACAGGCCCAAGTCTTTTAGTAGGTTGTAGAAAGATTTGGTTGTTATACCTCTCTTTCCCACTTCCACCGTGTACCAATTTAAGACGAACCTTTTCCTTTTGAGTTCGTTAGTGACCTCGAAATATTTAGTTATGGCATGGTTTTAATTTTTTCGTTATATTTGAATTTTTTCCTTGAAACAAGAAAAGTATTAAGCTCGAATTCTCGAATATATTTTGTTAATCGTTTTTTTTTATGTCCCAAAGGGGCAAGTGAGCAGACGGCCTACCTAATGGTAAGTAGTTACCGTCGCCCATGGACATCTGCAACACAAGGGGTGTTGTAGATGCGTTGCCGGCCTTGTTTGTAAAGGAGCCACCTGAACACGTGATGTTTGAAAGACCCCATGTTGTAGCTCTCTGGAAAAGCCTCGGGCGGAAGATCATTCCACATCCTGCACGTGCGTGAAAAAAATGATCGCGACGCACGTACAGTCCTGCAACTGAATGCATCAAGATGATGTGGGTGAATTCTTGAATGAAGTTTTTATTATATTCATATGATACGCTTGATGAGTGACTGTGTATATGGGTGTCACAATTAGTGAAAACATTTAGCTGGGTACAAGGTATTCTCTGTATATTATTCTGCTGCGCTTTAGTAAACCTGAAATCCCTTGGGCTCTTTTACGATAAAGATAGATCGGAAGTTTTCTTTGCAAATATTTCCTATATCTTTGTAATAGAGTATGATTTTCACCTATTATTGTCCACGTTTTTGCTTACCTGGTTTTAAAGTATCATCCCTCTATAATTCAATTTAGAAGATTACAAAATAAAAATGTATTTTTTAAATACGTACATTTAAGCCTATAAAGATTATATTCCTATGAGATATATATTTGTAGCAGAAGAAATTGTATCCCGTAAGGTACACCGTAAACTCCGTACTGAAAATGTAAAAGAAATATTTTCCTTAACCTCAGAGTTTACCTTCTCCCGACAATGACATAGGTTCAGTTATATTTATTTTAATTGAACATAGTTTTTAAAAATATTATTTAAATTAATTGATTTAGTTATGAGTCTTATTATATTGGACCGTACAAGTACCAATGGATATCTAGTCAGTTAGTTAGTCGCGCTAGCAGACGATCCGAAATAGCCATTTTAATGACCCTCCTTTGTTTATTCTTCCCGCCCGAAGGAGGGGTTTATTACGGGAAGACCGGGACGAGACGGGACGCTTGATAAATATAATGTCACTCAACATCCAACGATAATGAAATTAAAACTGAAACTTAAAAAAGTCCATAGAGTATTTTAACTTTTAAAGTTTCTAATATATGTATCTCCCTGTAATAAAATACTTCACAATATTATTTTTATGTAAATCATTATTGCCTTGTTAACGTTTATTTTCAGGGTGATAGCAAGAAAAGTAATAGGCTAATGAAACGAATTCTAACGACTTATAAATTACCTCATTAATTAAGACGTTTACGTTGAAAAATTGAGCATTTTTCAGTCATCTCTGAAAATTATATACACATAAAGAAGCAACGATAGTTTAACGACGTATATATGTAAATGAAGGAAAATATTTCAAACCAAAGCCGAGTTTGATTTAAAAACCAGTATGTATTCTATAAACAGCGTGTTTTCAGTGAATGTAAAACGCATGTATTGTTGGCATCATACCGTCCATCGTCTTAAGACATCTGAACAGTTTCTGTAGTTTCTGTCGCGTGTTTAACAGTTGTCTCGTATAGTTATTATAAACCTTCTCCACTACACGTTCCGTCTCCTGGGTTCCGTATCAATGTCGGTCCCTGGTCCGTTTCATGGCACAGTAGTCGGTGGTGCGCGCGACTCGGTCGTGTCAGATTAATATTACATATTTTCTTCAAAGTTTTTTATGTTATTGTTTTAATTACCTATAATTGACGGCACATAAATATATTTGGTAAGTTGTTTTATTTTATAATTAAAATATTTTGAGTGTGGCTATTTTATAATAATAAGCTATTTTGTTATAATACT